CCCCCAGCCCCGCGCGTTCGGCTGGAGACCCAGCCCCGCGCGGGTTAATCAGCACATTCTTCAAAATCCAGATTGGCAAGCCGAAGAAAGAGCACCAGGCATTCGTTTCATTCTGTGTGCGTCAGTGTCCTACTGGAAGTGCCGAGTGTCGATTGTCAAGGCCATCAAGCAATCGCCTCTACATGTATCAAACCGGAAAACTGGGCGTCGAAGGCAGCTCAAACTGCCTAACTCGCTCGCACGCACGCAATAGGTACCTATTAGCTGCTGATGTGGATGATAGGACCGTGATGTGCGGGAAAACAGGGCGCAATAAGCGACTGATGATATCTGCCGCCACTCCCGCCCATTCACTCATTGATGCCTGTGAACAGGCTTACAACCACTGGGGGTGCCAGTGATCACTTACCCAGTCGCCGGTGTTCGCCCGTGATCTTTCTTCTGTTCGATAGGCTGTTTATAGCCCCTCACCGCATTTGCACCATTGGCAATTGGGTGTTCTTTGTGTGCAATGGGCCGCATCGCCCACTCGCCCGTCACCATTCGCTCACGGCGGGCCCGTGGCCCGTTTATGGTCACTAAATGCGCTAGCCCCCTTAAATTATTTGCCCAAGATCTACTTGACTCAAGACGACTCATGGGTGCCAGAGTGACCCCTGCACACTTACTCAGGATGTCCGAGACCCCTACTATTACCCCGGGCGTCTGTGCCCCCTCCACTCAACCAATAAAGGCGCCGGTGACCCCGTCCACTCGCCTATAGGGCGTCTGTGACCCCGTCCACTCACCTATAGGGCGTCTGTGACCCCGTCCACTCACCTATAGGGCGTCTGTGACACCGTCCACTCGCCTATAGGGCGTCTGTGACCCCGTCCACTCACCTATAGGGCGTCTGTGACACCGTCCACTCGCCTATAGGGCGTCTGTGACCTCGTCCACTCGCTCTAAGGCGGATATGTGACTTCTATTTTTACACTCAGGGCACCTGTGACCATTGTCCCGCATCTATGTATATGTATGGCACTTGCGGTCCCTCTTTCTACATCTATGGCATCTGTCCACTAACCGAGGGCGCCCGTGTTCACTCACCTATAGGGCGTCTGTGACCCCGTTCACTCACCTATAGGACGTCTGTGACCCCGTCCACTCAACCAATAAAGGCGTCTGTGACCCCGTCCACTCAACCAATAAAGGCGCCTGTGACCCCGTCCACTCAACCAATAAAGGCGTCTGTGACCCCGTCCACTCAACCAATAAAGGCGTCTGTGACCCCGTCCACTCAACCAATAAAGGCGTCTGTGACCCCGTCCACTCGCTCTAAGGCGGATATATGACTTCTTTTGTTACACTCGGGCACTATGACCATTGTCCCGCATCTACATATGTCTATGTATGGCACTTGCTCTTTCTACATCTCTCTTTCTACTCTTTCTTACATACTCATGGCTCGTACGTACTCTCTTCTTACTCTTTCTACATCCATGGCATCTATCCAGTATCCACTAACCGAGGGCGCCCGTGTTCTGTACGACGATGCCACCTGTATAGTCAGCCTGTTGAACGTGCAGCGCCTTGGTGTGGTCGGCACTCCCTCTGCGATAGCGGTACAACATCTGTCGGGTGAAAACAAAAACAGCAGACGGGAACGATAATTAGCCGTGATTTTACGCTTCATGTTATTTATAATACTGATACTCAATACGGTTTGCATGCAGCCTGCCGTTCTATAAATGCTGGATTCGGAATTTGAATTACCTGAAATACATTGGATTTAAGGTTCTTTTTAGAATACCAGTACCACAGATAGAGGTTCGGGCCACATTTCGCGTTCGTTTCTGACATATATTTCGTGTGTCTCTCACCTCGTAGCGGCTGGAGTTGGTGTAGGTTTCCTGAACATCGACTCTGGCACTCTGGCACAGGCCATGAGGTGGTTTTAAGCACGAACCAGCGTCCCTGCGCCTGACATTCAAACAGCGCAGCATTCATACAGACAGCAGATTCTAAGTCATACATTGAGTGGACAGATGTACAGGGTGTCTCAAAAGTTCGCTTACAGGTACCAGCCATGCTTTTTTGTCAATAATTCTGAATCAACAAGAAATTAACAGTCGAAATTTTGCATGGGCATTGGTGACAACCTTCCTCAAGCAGTCTCATTGTTTTCAAGTCCATTCGACCCTTCATGAGCTCACAAAAAGGGTTCACCTCTGACCATGGGTCAGGCACGAAAATGTAGGTTGCAAAGTCGGGTATGTTGTGAAACTCTCTGTTTCAGGAGTAATGGGAATGGTTAAGTCGGAAATGACACATGGCTAAGTGTCGGCGAGGATGAGTGCAACATGATGATCATCTCATAAAAACGGTGGCTAAAATTTTTGAAGGACGAAACCATGCGAGACTAACGGCGTTTTGAATGACCCTCGCACGACAGCAGACTCGTGTTCCGGAAAGCAGCTGAAAATGCGGTCATAACTATTGAAAACTGGCAAGAAGCTCACAGACAGAGGCTACACATTTTCAAAAAGTGCAGGTCATCGTAAAATAAAGGCAAATTATAATTTAAAATTGTTTATAATATCTATAACGCTAATTTTTGGGGACAATAACACAAAAATCGTCAATGTCAAGGACACCTGACCCTCCAAAAGTGTCAGTTATTGTAAAATTTTATCTAACGAAGTTTCAAGAGGCAGATCTGCAGCGAATAATTTTCTTTTAAACACAAAATCCCGATAAAACCACACGATGGACAGGTTTGGGCCGTTTACAAAGCAGAACCTCTCCCGAGGAAAACACTCCGCAACCGAGCGAAGGTCTTGGCATGGGGAATGACGAGCGCTTGGAATTTGCAAAATTTGCACAATGTGTCTGAGAAACAGACGTCCGACACATTCTGCTACCATATGATGCGAAAAATTTACTCCTGGCACTTCCAGTTTGTTCAGGACTGGGGTCGTTTTGAAAAGGAAAATGGCGCTTGGGATGTCGGCGCCAGTCTTTCATGAAGGAGTTAGCGCAAGAGAATGCCTACAAAATACTCATGAATGGTGTCGATACAAGCTGTCGGCTTTCAGGGAAAATCAGATGTTGCCGGGGAGCTAGTCAAAACTAAATCCGACGCAGAAACTGCAGGGGATTCCCCTGCAAGAGCTTGAAAGCTGGTAACCTTTTATCAGCCTCCGGCAGCTGACGGAGCAACAAAAATCGGTATGGGCAAATATTTTTGGAGATACAGCAAAGGGGTTGGTTTTCAACCTTCTTAATCAGTTGTCAAAGCATGCATATTTGTCTAGTGTACACACAGACACCAAAACCTTACACTTTTGGCCGGTTCTTATATGCTTTATTGGCATGGGAAATGTGTAAACGAACTTTTGAGACACCCTGTAAGTACTTGGCATACTCATAACTCATAGCAATTTGCATGCCTACTTGGGTTTTGCCAACTGTCTAGCCTGTGTTCTCCTTATGTGCCTGCAGTGTTCACTGGTTGGATGCCAGACTGCATTGAGCTGAGCCCTCTTCCGCACTTCTGGAACTTCAAAGTCGAAATGGATGGCAGTGAAAATGCATACAATTTCAGCAATCAGCATGTACCATGCCTTATGAGCCCCCTTGATCAAAGCTGCGCTTATACATAACACCGATAGCTGCAACAATCTCTCATCCGTTTTACCTGTCCTATATCCTGGTCTGCTAACGCAGTCATATTCGGTCAGTCGCCGAACCGGGAGACTCCCATTTCCGGGACACAGGCCAGCGTCACTGGTGTCAGGCTCACCACCAGCAGACTGCAGACCACCACAGTCGTCACCCTCATCCTCCAGTCGACGCCAGTACCAGATCCAGAACAGAAACTCATCGGCTGAGGTCTCGAGCTGCAGCTCAGCCACGAAGCGGCGACCTATACGGGTATGCAAAGTCACACGCTTGTCGCTGCTGAGCTGAGGCTGCGGTATGGAGCGATGCCGGCGGCGACTCTGTATCAAATGCGGGACCACAGGAGCGGATTGCTGAAAGGCCGGTCTCTGTTTGACCCTGTGCCTGGTGCGCTATGCCAGTGGCGGATCCAGCTCAGAGTTTTTCTTTGGGGGGGGGGGGGGGCAAACCATAACAATTTATCGATTCTTTCCATGCCTCGTCTATGGGCGTAATGTTAAAATTATGCCGTTTGGGAGGGGCAAATGCCCATTCCCCCCCCCCTGGATCCGCCACTGCGCTATGCAGTGTGACATGCGCTCCCCACAACTGGTGCTGACGTGGAACTGTTTTGGTTCCGATCGGCCGACGTTGCATCGGGTATTTATGTATTGTCTGGTCATGTAATTGGCGGGGAGATGTGCGATTTGCGATGTGGGGGGGGGGGGATGGATGTGGCGTGGCTCAGCGAATGCAGATGAAATGCAGCAATGGATGCGAGGGTTGCACAAGCAAGTAAAGATACACTAGTACTGATTAAAAAATGGGTACTGATCAAAACAATTAACGAGTTAGGCACAGTGTTCAATGTGAAATGTGTGTAGAGCATCGAGAACATGAGCGTTTGCTCTTGTCTTCCTTCAAGGGGCAAAAGAAGACAGAGACAGAGGCAGCTGCAAAGACAGGCACAAACACGGAGACAGAGATGGAACAGGAATGAGATCGGGAACAGAAACAGGGGCAAAGATATAGGGATATGACAGAGAAAGAGACTAGGGGTACAAAGACAGATACACGGACAGACACAGGGACAGGGAGAGAGACTTGAAGAAAGAGACAGTAATAAATGCAGAGACAGGATTGGGGACAGGAACAGGAACAGGAACAGGAACAGGACGGAGATAGAGACAGGCATACTGGGACAGGGACAGATACATAGACAAAGAAAGAGACAGAGGCAGAGGCAAAGAGACAGAGACAGAGACAGAGACGGGGACCGGGCGGGGTGCCGACCGTCGCGTCGGCGGCCGTCTGGCGGGCTATTTCGGGGCGGCCCGGCCGGCCCGGTGGGTATCGGTGGAGATTTGGCGGCCGCCGCTCGAGAGCCGGCACCCCAGTCGCCCCGCGCCGCCCGCGCGCCCCCTCCGACTCTGGATACGGACATTCTCCTACCGGTGGATCGTCATAATACTATGTAAGTACACTTACTGCATTACGTGTACAACAGCTCGTTGGGTCGAATAATAGCATTTCGCTGTGGTGACAGAAGTGCACCTTCGGCATGCTCTGAAATTAGGTGTTTAATAATTTGCGACGCATGCTGATTTGAACTGGTACAACAAAATGCTGAATGGCTATTTAGGCTGATCTAAGGATATGGATTGAATGCCAGCGTTTTTTAGATTCACCAAGACCATAGCTACATGATTTAACGGTTTGAGCCGTAGGCAAAAGCGGTTAAATGCGATTTTTTCTATTTGGTTATTTGCATACTTTTCAAATCATTTTTTATCGTTTGTTCTCTCTCATTGCTCCAAATTTATCATTGTACAGTAATGTCATATTAGCCTGTTTCTTTCCAATTAATTCGATTTTTGAGCCATCGTTCCTTGGACACTCGTTGATAGAATGAGTGGTAATGCTGAATGCCTACAATAGCAAAAAGTGCGTTTGTGTGCGCTAGTTATTTTAAAACAGACACAGGCTGTCAATTCCCAACATAAAACGGAACCAAAGCGCACATAACGGGAAGCATCCATTCTTTATAATCGTGCAAACAGGATAAAACTTTTAAGTTTTACATATATGTATGTGTGCATATGGTTACATATTTGCATCCATGTAGGGGAAAGTGGGGTAAGACGGGCACCTTAACTTTGGAGCCATTTTTCGGCCGGTTAGAAACATCATAGAAACGGGAAACTGGGTGAAAACCTTTTTCAGACATTTTACTTTCATTTGCCAGAAGATGAGACTTAGACCTGATTCAACAAATAAACTGCAGCTATTTTTGCAAAACCTTGCAAAAACCCGTCTTACCCCACCCCATGGGGTAAGACGGTCACATGGGTAGGGCAAGACGGCCAGCTTCTTTCACCGATCAGCGCAGCTCGCAACAAATGCCCGAGATTAGCCGCATTTATACAGTCGCTCGTTGGTCTCAAGTGCTTCGGAAATGGCAGTATACGAGATTCGTGCAGAAGGCGTATGCTCCTATATAGGCCCTAGTTCAGAAGCCATGTAGAACCGTTTTTCACATTCATTATTCGAGAATAAACTGTGCCGAAGGAATATTGCTAACATGTCTGTGAGTATCGGAATCGAACATATTCTTATTAGAAATGCTTCTTTTTTCCTACAGCAACAAAAATATTTTCACCATTACAGACCCATTGGGTTCATAGTTGCCCGTCTTACCCCAAACTCAATGTCAGAAGTTCAGCACGATTTTTCGCTGTGGACAATTTGATGCAGACAAAGCAAATCCGCCGTAAATGAACACTGTTGGCATATGAGTGTACCACAAGTGATTGCGAGTTTTTAACTCTATAGTGCTGTACACAAAAGCTTGCACAATACATTATGGATGTTTTCAATGAAATGAGTGTTTTAAAGAAATCAAAATAAAAGATTATCGACTGAACACAAATTCACCAGACTTGAATGGTGGTGTGTAGTGGGAAAGGCAATTCTGGTCCTAACTTTTCTTGCTCGTAGCGCTATTGGTTTGGTCTGCAGAAGGGGTGCCCGTCTTACCTACCCTGACCGTCTTACCCCACTTTCCCCTACATTGTTGAAACGTTCAAAACAATCTGCTGGTGTTGTAGCCTCATGAATTTAAAATATTCAAACATGATTTCCTGCGCACCTCATGGTAAATATTATGCCTCAGTTACGTGGGACTAGTTTTTCTTTTTCTTGGCACCTGGCATCGTGACCTGCTTTTTTATTTCCTCGCGTTTGTTCCCATGCAGTCTCGGCTGTAGTTTCAGTGAAGCGTTGATAACAATACGGCGTTATCAGTCGGCACGTCACTCTCACGGCATCGGCCACACGGGAGCCGGTGGGGAATGTTGGCGAGTGCTATTCTTGTATGCTCCTGGTTATTCTAAATAAATGATCGGATATTTTTCGACACGGAAAATATCTGAAATATTCGGCGTAACGTTCAGTCTAACATGTTCTGAGTAGTGATGTCAATTACAGGTAATTTGGATCACCGATACCGAATCAAATACCAGCTGCAACCGTGGAAAATACAAAAAACAAATAATACCTACCTACTTCAAAAATTAAGAGAGATACTAAGGTATTACGAAACTCAGATATTCTTATGTGGTTCATGAAACCATTTAAATATCAAAAACATCAAGATTGAAATACAAAACAAAAGGCTGGTATCGGTTCGATATCGGTAGGTATATCAAAATGTTGGTATCTGATTGACATCTAATTCTAAGCAACCTTGAAAGTTCACACAAGATGCATAGAAAAGCAGGCAATGCATTTGAATATTGATCTCATTCGTTCGCTGAACTTAATTGATTAGAAGAGAGAAACCGTTATTCGAAGATCATTCATGCAGGCGCCATTGTCAGAAACTTTCCAGACCGATTTCCATGAGCAGGCGGCCACCATTTTAGACCGAGAGCGCCTGCTGGACGTCACTTCAATAGTTTCATTTTGAACGTCTTGTTTTGAGAGCAGTGCCTTCTCAATTCCCCAGTGACAAAAAGGATTATTTATTGTTGGTGGTTAGCACCTCTGAAATATCTTCAGGCAACTGTCTAACGATCAAGGTCAAATCTATTGACATCAAGTTTGATTTAGCAAGTTTTTCATAAATGGTCACCTAGATTTCAAACTCCATAAATTTATAATTTTAATAGTTGGGTACCACTATCATTATATCTAACCTTACACCAAACGTGCCAGGCCACCAATTTATAATCCACTCTTATCCCCCCAAAAAACATGTGTGCGTTTGGTTGTTTGGGGCGCAGTGTTTACGTTTTTCTCTATTTTAAACTTACGTTTACTTTTCCTTCATCTATTATTATTTATCAATAATGCATACTCCTAACTGCAGAATGCATGATTTTCCCGGCTCTATACACCCAAATGTAGAGGAATTCTCAATGTCATATCTCCCACTGAAACTCCCCGAACCACCGAAATCCAGGTGACACTGGCTGGTTATTGTTGGCCGAGAGTGTGTTTTGAAAATCCTCGGACCAAAGTGTGTCGAGTGCAGAGGCTCGCCGGTGGCACCCGAGCAATCGGGTCACTCCGCTGCCCACCGGCTGTGGAGTCTGGCTCAAACCCAACACACCGGAAATGTGGCCAGGCTAGAGCTGTCTATGAACTGGAAAACTCGGGTAATTGTACGTTTGAACATGCTGCTTTGGTGTATTCATAGATCAATCATATCCTTTTGTCGAGAATGAGATTACATTGCATTGCATTACATATCAGTTGGATCCGGCGGGGAATAGAGCCGCTAATCCGCCGGAATGTCTGCCGGGGTGTCTGTAGGTGCGACACTGGGCGTTCGATGATGGCCGGTCCGTGGTTGGGCGATAACTCGGCGGCGAGGTGCGGACCGGTGTCGGCTCCGGGCCGGGTATTAATAGCGTCGCTGCGGGCCGCCGCGGCGGTGGCCGTCGGCGCCGTGTCGTCCCGCGAGGGCCGACGGCCAACTCACATTCCCGGGGACGGCCTCACGTATTCCGACCGGCCGGCTGTCCCCGGGGACGGCCTCACTATCCCGACCGGCCAGCTGTCCCGGGGACGGCCTCACGTATCCCGACCGGCCAGCTGTCCCCGGGGACGGCCTCACGTATTCCGACCGGCCGGCTGTCCCGGGGACAGGCCGGGAAGGTGACGGACTGCGGATCCTCCCCGCCGCAAACTGTTCCGTGTATAGGGATCATGGCGCAGTTGTGACGGTCCATTGAGGTTCGCTGTGTGTCGTCGGGTGGTGCAGTGAACCGGAAGGTTGCGATCCGCCTGTGTGACGAAAATTGGCATCGGCTAGCCGGCATCGGCTAGCCGGCATTGACCAATATCCCTCTTATACTCAGAGCCAGACATGGGCTTCAGTTTCAAGGAAGCTCCAGGAGCCTCTTGGAAATACCGCCTCCAATTTCATCAAAGGACGCGAAAAGAAATATGTTAAGTGCTGCAGCGGTCGCAATTTGTATCACTCCTTTTGGCAAGACCTATAATAATACAGCCTAACGGATATTTATCTTCGTTTGTCGCAAATCACCTCCTAATAGCAAATGAAATCTTCTGAAATCTGTTCAATTTTGAAATAAGCTCGTCGACAGCTTATGGTTTCACATAGAACCTTTGAAAAACGAGAATGCAATACAATCGAATCAGGTGCAATTGAATATCAATCGTGATCATCGCCATTGGTATAGACACCATTGGATATCGTTTATTGAAATGCAGTTTTTTTCAATTAGCAGGAATGATACCTCGAAATGGGCGTTAGGGATGTCCAGGAAAATATAGGACACTTCCGCGGTTATCTGCACTGCAAGAGGATAGCACCATAGTTTTCCTTCCTTGGTACAATTGCAGCGCCGTACGTAGGAAACACAATTAGAGTATTCCATTCAGTTTGGTAAAAGTATCCCTAAGCTCTTTCACGATAGTTTTAAGCTGCTTTGTGATCTGGGTAAATTTATTGCGTCAATTGTGTTGTTACGATTGATTGTTTGATGGCATCCTCATTCCTCAATCAAGATGCACGATATTGCGTCATTTAGCGTTTTATTTCACGCACACAAATATTCCGCCAGCGAAAGGTCAATCTCCTTACGGCGTCATTGGCACTGCTTCAGAGAAGTCGGAAGTTAAATCCGATCGCCTTCCTTGTGTAGTGATGTAGATAGGTTTTTACTAAGCATCAAACTGACATTGCAACATTGAAATTGGGATTTCATAAGTCGATTTACACATCATTAGGTTTCGTTCTCCACTTCCCTATCCTTATTGCTTCCGAAGAAATCATCCATAGAAAAGAGCCGAGGAAAAGAGCAATGCACACATTCATACACTTTTCAAATATATTGCGCAATGCGCATTTTTTGATTGCTCAGAAACATCGAGATATATCTGTTTGTTGGGCACAAGTATTAGGTGGCATATAATACTTAACCCTCGCATGTCTTGGTGTCCAACATCAGTGACCACGACCTGATCGCTGCGTCAGTCGCTGACGTGAAGAGCCGACATCAGCCGAGGACCGTCACCTTTAGGTCGACCCGCCACCTGAGCCAGGACGCCCTGTGTCTGGACCTGCTGCAGGCCGACTGGACCCCCGTTTACCAGGCGGAGACGGTGGCAGCCAAGTGGGACGCCTGGAGGTCAGCCTGGACGCCGCTGATTGATCGACACATGCCCGTCCGTCAGATCAGGACTCGCCACCAACCGCAGCCGTGGCTTCACGATGAGGACGTTGCAGCTGCGATGGAGGCGAGAGACGCGGCACGCCTGGACAAGGAGAGGACGCCGTGTGAGGAGACAGAGCGCGAGTTTCGAATCAAACGCAACGCAGTGAAGGCTTCTCAGCGCCGCGCCTGCTCTCAGTATTTTCTCTCCTCATACAGACAATCCAGGTCCACCACCTGGAAGGATATTCGACGATTCCTCGTCTCCTCCAGCAAGCCCCAGCCGAATTCTCACAGCCCAGTAGACCATCAGCCCGGCTGGCTGGACCGGCTGAACCGGTACTTTGCGGACGTGGGGTCGACAGTCGCAGAGGAGCTGGCAGCTGCGGACACCGGAGAGATACTCAGGCCACGCCCGCCACGAGTCATCAGCGGCGCCTTCAGCCCCCGGCCGGCGACTCTCCCGGAGCTGTCCGCGGCACTCCAGCGCATGAGCCCATCCAAAGCTTGCGGAGATGACGGCATCACCATCGCCATGCTACGGATGACCTTCCCCGTGATCGGCCCGCACATCCTTCACGTCATCAACAGCAGCATCGCCCGGGCCGAGTTGCCACCGTCATGGAGAGCTGCTTCCGTTGTCCCCATACACAAGAGTGGCGATAAGGACAATCCCAGCAACTACAGACCTATATCAGTGTTGTCTGTGGTCGCTAAACTCTGTGAACGCGTCGTGTGCACCCAGCTGATGGACTATCTAACCGGTCATCATATCCTCTGTGCGCAGCAGTACGGGTTCCGCCCCGGACAATCCACGGAGGCGGCCCTGCTCGATGCTGTCGGTCACATCACCGATAACATCGACGGAGGGCGCGTGACTTCACTCGTCACCGCTGACACCTCCAAGGCGTTTGACAGCGTCGAGCATGGTCGCCTCTTGGAGAAGCTGGGGTGGTACGGTATTGATGACCGGTGGTTCCGTGCATGGCTTTCCGACCGCACGCAGTCAGTAAGAGGTGGATCGGGTGCTGAGCTGCCGGTGACGCATGGGGTGGTGCAGGGCAGCATAATGGGCCCAGTGTTGTTCCTGGTGTTCTCCAATGACTTGTCACAACACGTGCCGCATGGGAGGCTTGTTATGTACGCCGACGATGCCCAGTTTATAGATTCAGACTCGCCAAGAAACCTGTCAGAGCTTAAATGCCGCGTAGAACAAACCCTGTCTGTAGCTCTCTGCTGGTTCACGCAAAATAGGCTAAAGATAAACCCTTCGAAGACCGAACTGCTTATCTTGAGATCCTCACGCCAAAATGATAATGTCAACTTCACCGTCAAATTCGGCGAGTCGGAAGTCGTGCCTGTGCAGTCGGCGAGGGTCTTAGGCGTCAACATCGACTCGTGCCTGACGTGGGAGCAGCATGTGGCTGCGATCACTCGCCGATGTTACTGCATTCTGATAGGGCTGGCCAGAATGCAGCGTCGTGTGCCGCGTGAGACAAAGCAGCTGTTGGTCGAGGCACTGGTATTCCCTCATCTGCAGTACTGCATGTGCGTGTGGGGAAGCTGCACAAAGACCCAAAAGCACAGACTTCAGAGATGCATGAATTTTGGCGCCCGCATTGTCACTGGTCTTGGCTATCGTGAACACATTTCCGGGACACTGCGAGAGCTTGGATGGCGGGTGATCGAGGACATGATAACTGAGCGTGACCTGTGCGTCATGTACAACCTGAACCATGTCGAGAGCGCCCCTGAGCTTCTCCGCTCACGCATCACCCACCGCTCTGATGTGTCTGTGCGTGAAACGAGAGCGACACGTGACGGCGAGCTGGAGGTGCCGCGGGCCCGCACAGAGTTTGCCCGTCGGTCGTTCTTCAATCGGGCGGTGAGAGCGTGGAATAGGCTACCGCTGAGTGCGAGAAACGCGTCTTCTCTTCCTGTCTTTAAAAAGTGTATCGCAGATGCCTTTTAAAGGGTGATGCAAATGTGGATTGATAGGAAAATGCTTTTACTTGTGCTACATGACGTGGAACGCTGAAAACCCATTTTATGGATGTATTCCTAAATATATGATATGATATGATATGATGTGTGCGGCGTTTGCCAGCTTCATAATGTGTAGGGGGGGGGGTCGGTTGGACCCCCCCCCTTGCCGTTTGGCCCCTGATCGAGCCAGAGCTTGGCGGAAAAAACGAGCGTGTTGCCCGTGACGAGAGGAAGCCGATGATACCCAATTTTAAGGTCCTAGGTCATTGGTTGACCTTCCAGGTCAGGTCAATGACCCAAAGTCGGGAAAATCGGGACCTGTTAGAAAGTCGTAAAGTGTAGCTGCTAAGGGGTTTTTCGGGGTGCTGATCACGAATATCGTGTTAGTTTTGATCACAGATGATGTCTTGAAGCATTTAGACCAGGTCGGGTCAGGTCAGGTCAGGTCAACCAGTAGGCGTCGTGACGGGTATTCGTAGTACGTGTCAACCGCCTCTGACAGCTTCGTGACATGTTACGAAGTCACCAAAACTACTTCGTAAATGTTCAAATGGTTGCTAAATTCGAATTCAGCTCCAAAAACTAGCCTAGAAACATGTAAAACTCGAAAAAGTGACCCGAGGTCACCCGAGGTCACCAAAGGTCAATGACCTGACCTGACCTTCAGGTGACCTTGACACACACGGGAGTAACATCAAATCACATGTTTGAACGTTTGAAACCACGAAAAGCTTGCAAACACGCGGCTAGTGCGAGCCGACATACGCGAAACCGCGATTCCGGCCAAACATGGTCTCGGAAAAGAGGTCACAGGTCAAAGGTCATTTGGGTCAGGGTTATGAAATTTTCAGGGTAGGTGTAAAATTGATCAATGCGAGGGTACTGCAAGTTTCGTCGCGATCGGCCGCTTTTTACGCGAGTTATTCGCGAAAAACCATGGGGGGTCCATCCGACCCCCCTACACATGCGAGGGTTAATTAACCCACGAGCCGCTGGGGGGGGGGGCATAAAGTTGCCCCCCTTTACATTTTGTGAAATATCTCCGAAACCGGATGAGCTACGAACGTGAAACTTGGCATAGCTTCAAATGAATACCTAGGCAATGTTTGAGGAAAGTTTGGTGGTTGTATCACCTAAGATGACGTCACAGTGACGTCATAAAGTTTTGTCGTTTTCCGATATGGACCGTTTCTGATGACGCTGAGCATGAAACTCGACTGTAAATGAACTAGACAGCACCTGCTGTCATCCTAAAACATCTTACTACACTTCCATCTAGTTTCTGACCAATAATCGACCCTTTATATTCGGTCCCATATATGTGCTGTATCGAGAGGAATATGAGAGTCGCAAATCTATAATTTCACTTATGACGTCACTGTGACGTCATTTCAAATGGGATCGACACCAAATTTGGGCACAACCTCGGCTAGGTATTCAGGAAGATGTGTGCAAAGTTTCGCTTCTCTATCTCTTCGCGTTGCGACGATATCGTCGCAGAAGTAAAGGGGGGGCAACTTTATGCCCCCCCCCCAGCGGCCGGCGGGTGGCGCGGAGGCCCAGCGGCCGCCGGGTTAAAGTCTGAACACGTGGTGATCAATTAAGTGATTGATTGATTGATTGATTGATTGATTGATTGATTGATGAAGAGAGAGAGAGAGAGAGAGAGAGAGAGAGAGAGAGAGAGAGAGAGAGAGAGAGAGAGAGAGAGAGAGAGATAGATAGATAGAGGGAGAGGGAGAGGGAGAGGGAGAGGGAGAGGAATCTCGTTTGTTCGAACACACCGTAAGTTGTTTTGATTAATGACCTTACCCTCGTAGTTTGAAAAAGTTAGATCAAAACACTTGTTTATTAATAATTTCGAGCAGTCAAAGATTGGATTTTTATCGTGACATTTTTAGCTTTGTATTCTGATGAAGAGCTGTGCTCGAAATTATTAATAAACAAGTGTTTTGATCTAACTTTTTCAAACTACGAGGGTAAGGTCATTAATCAAAATGCTTTAATATGACCCTCGCACAAGCACTGAGAAACTTAAAGAACACCGTAAGTTGTGCTAGTATAAAACGATTAGTAATTTGTTCGCCCCATATCCAAAGCCTAAATGAAGTAATCGACTGCGTCGTGCTGCCATTCTATCTAATTCCTGTTAACATCGTCGGCTCAATACACGGGTACTCCAAAGTGCTGCATAACTTAGGGTGAAAACGGACACTTGTTGAAAGTACTGGGCGTCAGTCATCTGATTATGAAAGCACCATTGGGTGTTATTTTTCGTTATTTAATTGCAGCATTCACAGTAGGCTATCTCACATAGGATCATGGTAAAGCCTATCCATCATGCTTTTCTCGAGGTCTCGGACCATGGACATCGTGGGAAAAGTATCGGCGACACTAGTTTCATGGTCTACTGAACATTAGGACTTTTTCATTTGTCTAGCCTCCTATCAGCTGATTTTTCTATGTTCATGGCCTTTTATGTAAAAGTGAAGGTGTTTAAATGAAAGTGTCCTAATGTTGTCACGATAGGTGTATGTTTCACAGTCCAGGATAAAGCACTTTTTGTGAAATTATATGAGTTTGTCGCATTTGCACGGGCTATTTAGTTATAAGTTCAAGGACGTTAGAGAGTAAGTACGTTTAACTTGATGATATTATTTTTTTTTCTAAGTCGGCCTTGGTCCGTATTGCATGTGTGGATGAGTAATACAACGATAGTACTTTATTTTTGTTGGCGGCCGATTACTTTGGCTTTGTTTTGCGGTTTTCTGTTTAACACTGCAAATGGTAACTAGCAAGCAGTGGCTACCAGTGTAGTCTGTCGAGTGTCATCGTACTATCAACACAGCGATCGCAAAGCACATCGATCACTGTGCTACTCGACAAAAGGCGCCGATTACGAGCTGGTCGTGGGGGTTTTACACGCCGAAGAATTGACCGTGTAACCAATACAACCTCTCCAAAAACGGCCGCCGACCAGGGAGGGTTGGACACGGCCCAGCCGATATCGGGCTGCGATACACCTCACGTATCAAGGCCACCACGTGGGAAAGCGTGTCTGGGAAGCCCGTCGCGGCCCGCCGGCCAACACACGTGTCCGCCGACCGATTGGGGTGACTCCGAACGACATCTACGTCGAATCGGGCCGGCCGACACGTCCGTGAGGCACACTGTAATACCGTGTCGGCCGTGTGACTTTCCCCGGCGCCAAGCAGTTCAAGATAATCCAATGTCATACCGCCGGCCACCGCGAGGCTGAGGTGCAGCTCGCTGGTATACACCTCACTCACGAGTGACATGACTGACATGTTCAGCCGTCAGGGTTCTCTCGGACATGGCCAACCGAGGGACTTTCCCCGGAACTAACCGGTGGCTGTCTCGTGCCATCATTGAGAGACGTCGCGCCGGTTTTTAGCCATCTGAAGTGTGTAGCAATTACGCTGGGTTCCGTGTGATAATCTGCTGACATCATTTGTAACGCTCGTGCGTTACAGTTTAGAGGCTCAGACAATGCGGTCGGGGTAAATACGACGGCAGCCTGCTGCCGAGTCCAGTCGGAAACGTACTCTGACAGACGCCAGCCCGGATCATGAGCTCATAACTCGTGTGTGACGTCAGATTTCCAGAAGTGCTTAGGGGACCAGGAGATTCCACGCTGTTTGCGGGAAGACGGACGCAGTTGGCAATGATGCAAAGCATTCGTCACGTCATGCCCATTTCACAAACTTCCTACCAGAGATTTACCATACGGAGCTACGCTCTAGTTTGCGGCGAGTTTTAGAAGTATATATCCTCTTTTACATGTATCAACTGTATACCGGTGGGACCATGGACAAGTCAAGACCAATTAGAAACTTGGGACGTCGAGTTTCAAGGAAGCCATACCGGAGCAGATGATCTGGTTATGTGGAGCAGTCCCGTAATTCTTTTTACGTAATCTTTGTGGATTTACAGCGTTCTTACTAAAATTGTGCTTTACAAGGAATTCAACTATACTTTACATACATACGTCATTTGTGACAAAGTGAGTATATTTGGGGCCTCTATGGTCTTTCCTTCGAACACAGAATGTAAAGTTAGCATCAGCATATGTTTGAACGACCGCACTGCGTCTTCGCACAAACAAGACTGCACATTTTTGCACTCTTGTTTTATGGTTCGGGAACGGGGGGGGGGGGGGGTAGGGGTTACTCATGTCTAAAACTGGCAAGTGTAAACCACGCTAAGTGCAACTGCATTGCACATTTTGTTTTGTCTCCGAGACTGTTAGAGCCAAGTCATATATATATATATAAAAGATATGTTGCAAAGCGCACAGCCATTTCAGATAAGCGGCTTCTTACGCTTACTCCAAGAAGCAACAATCCATGCCTCAAACATCCTACTTTTGCTTTGCATTGCCTACAGAACGATGTCAATCGTCCTTGCCATGCGAATTTCACTTATATTCGCTGCCATAAAAACTGCATGAACTATATGTACAACTGAAAACTTTCAGCTGAAAGGAGAGCAACCAAATTCGCCATAAAATGTGTAGTCGGCCTTGAGTCAAGTATTTCACTACAATAAATTTACATCGTCAGTTTTACGTCTGGCATTTGCGAGTATGCATTGGAACATGAAACCGTTGCCTTCTTTACAGAAACATTTTATCGTTAACCTATAACAGACGTTCAAACACGCTTGAAAGCAGCTTGGTCTGGCATTGCAAATATTTAAATAAGCTGCCATTGGCGATCCTCCAGGTGCGAAATGGGTTCGTTGAAGGCAAACCACTGGCAAACCTTGGCAAGGACATACTCAAAGACCGAGATATCCGGAAAGGATATTGTGTTGATCGAAATGGAAACAAGTATGCTGCTGTACCTTGCAAACATTGGAAATTAATGCCACTCGACTTTCAATGACGAGCTCCCCATCCTGAATCAATCAAATATTGCCGAAGCATTGCCACCAATCCTGTCAAACCGATGGTCAATGGAGTTATTTGATCATTTAACACAAGTTGACCATCCTTGTAAATGTTATTCCGGTCAATTGAGATTCGTTCACAATTTATTTTATTGTCTTTCAAACAGATGTAAGCTGTAGGCGTGCATTTTAATTTATCGAATAACTACAGCATTTTAGTGAGCGTTCCTTTCCATTTCCAGCGTAAAATACCACTTTTCTGGATACCACCTCACTGGATCTGCCAATGGCTCATGTCTCTTGTTCCGTTGAAGTCTCACATACTTGTTTGCGTTACTTTCCCTCTTCTTTATAGGTACTTAACTTGCTACTTTGTCCAATTGTGCCTTATCGTCTGTGTCATTCACCTAAAGGGATAATACTTTGAGATACTTCGACGAATTAATAATGATGCCCATGATGGGAAAGACGTGAGAAGGCTCTAATAACGGTTTCCTCAAGCATAGATAAGCAGATGATGGTGTAGAAACGCCTGCGTACGGACACTGGACTGTAATCGCCACGCCCCGTGTGGATTGTCCATGATGGTAATACATACATGCGTACATACACATACATGCACATACTTTCTATAACAAGTCTTTAGGGGATTACCTTATGTGATACATGCTATCTAGTCACATCAGCTATCATACCTACTACGCCTACTTCTTCTTTTGTAGAAGCCATTCAAAAATTTACACCCCGTGTGCCAATTTGATCATCAAAGACGTACTTGATACGTACAGCCTCTGTGTATGTATTTACGTATGTATTTAGCCATAGGCGTAGGAACAGGGGGCAGGGGGCCATTACCCCCCCCCCCCCCGCCCCCACTTTTCCGCCATTTTTAATAAAATCTTTATTTTTTATTTTAATACAAAACTAAGAGCAAGAAATGGTTCAGCAAGGTGAGATGAGCACAAACCTGAAAAGAAATTCTTCATAGGAGTATTGGGGCTCCCACAAAGTTACATTGAAGTTTCGCTGTTCCCCTCACTTTTCGTAAGGTTCCTACGCCCATGTTTAGCCAAGAATATGTGTACGTATTACCGGTGACGGTATATGACGTTTTTCTCTGTTTGTTGCAGGGTCTGATGATGCTCGTCTAATATATCCTGCCCCTCCTCGAGGGAGGGGGCTGCATAAGTACAAAAGGTGAGCGACATTCCTCCTCGAGGGAGGGGGCTGCACAGTGGCGGCGGAAGGTAATTTTGGATGGGGGTGCAAAGTTTTCCTAAGGGGCCCCTCTGGAAGTTTTGGGCCCCCCTCCAGTTTTTTTTAGCGATTATTATTGATTCATGAAAAATGCAGATTTTGGAAAACTATCCACATACACACAAGCTGTGTAAAAGGTTTGAAATTGCAGTGTATCTACCTATCTCAAATAATGAAAGCATAAAGAAGCAAATGCAGCTAGTTGTTTATCGGTTAATCTTTTAGTCTTGCCACCACCCGCAGCGTCTCAAACCACTTTTCTGGATCCGCAGTGGACCATTGAGTGCCCTACGAGACCGTTCCAAGAAGACCGTGTTTGGAAGCCCCTTGGAAACCGACCACATAAAGGCTCCTCCAGAGACCTACATGACTCCCCAGACTGAATGAGCCCTCCGATCAGGATCGGTCCCTTGAAAGTTGCTGAAAGGTTTCAGAAGGCAGTATAGGCTCGAAAGTCTTTTGAGGGCTCTCAGAAACCGGCATCGGACCCCAAAAAAGCCTGTATGGAGGCCCTCCAAAGCCGGGATGGAGGCCACAGGAGCCGACGTTTAGCCTAAAGAGCCGGTATGGAGGACTGAGTAGAGGAAAGGGGTCTCAGTGGGGCCTTCGGGGGCAAGCGTTTGAGCCCCAAAAGTATGTGTGGGGTCTGAGAGGCAGGTAGACCCCTGGGGTATGCACGGGGTCCCAGGAGCTCGCGTGTGAGCCCAAATATTCGGCTGGCGGCTACTAGAACCAGCATGGGGATTCTTAGAAGTCGCTTAGTCCCACATTTCCTGGGTCATGAGTCCCAAGAGTCGATGTAGGGGCCATGAAAGCCGGTGTAGGGCCCATCGCCCCTATAAGTTCAGACATTGAGACTCTCAGAGGCCGGCGACGGGGCACCAAGAGCAGATAAAGTGCCTCAACAAGCCGACATGGGGCCTGAGAGTCAGTGTGGAATTCCAGGAGCCTGCGTGAGCTCTCGGAGACCTTCGTATTTCGTAAGGTCCACAAATGTCGTTGGATCCTCTGAATCTCTACTCTGTGGGGCCCTCAGAGACCAGCATGTCTCCTGGCACCTGCCTGCGTTGAGTTGAGACCCTCTGAGGCCGTCGTAGGGTTCTTCAGAGGCCAGCGTTGGCCCTTGAAGCCTTCGTAAGGCCCTAGAAGCCGTCAAGAGGGCCCTCAGAGGTCAGCATGGCCCTGGAACCTGCCTGCGTCGAGGACCTCAGAGGCCGTCGTGGGGCCCTCAGACGCCAGCGTGGGCCTTTGGAGCTTGCGTTGGGTCTTAGAGAGTATCGTGAGGGCCCAGAGAGGTCGTCGACAGGGCCCTCAGCCCCTCAGGGACCGTCCTGGGGTCCTCAGAAGTTGTTGTGAAGCCTTCGAGAGGATCAGCAGAGGTCGTCATGAGGGTCCTTGACCATAGTGAGGGTCTTCATGGGCCCTCAGATACCTTTGCAGGGCTCTCAGAGGCCTTGGTAAGACCGCTAGAGGCCATCGTTGTTAGGGCCCTCAATAGACCGTGGTAGGGCCCTCAGATGCCAGCATAGCCCCTGCAGTCTGGCTGTGTTGGGGCCCTCAGAGGCCGTCGCTAGGCCGTCTGAAGCCAGATGGGCCCTCAGACTTGAGTTGGGTCTAGGGCCGTCACGAGGGCCCTTAGATACCGTCGTAGAGGCCCTCAGAGGCCAGTGGGGCCCCTGGAGTCCTGTGGGACCCTCTGCGGTCGTCATGAGGGCCCTTAGTGGTCGTTATAGGGCCCCAGGGGACAGAGGTCGTCGTGAGAGCCCTCAGAGATCATCGTAAGGGCCCTCAGAGGCCGTCATATAGGGGCCCTCAGAGGCCAGCGTAGCCCCCGGAGTCTCCTTGGGGCCCTGGAATCTCTGTGGGACCCTCAGCGGTCGTCATGACTCATGAGGGCCCTAAGTGGCCGTTGTAGGGCCCCACGGGACAGAGGTCGTCGTGGGAGCCCTCAGAGATCGTCATAAAAGGGCTCTCTGAGGCCGTCGTGGGGGCCCTCAGATGCCGCGTGGAGCACCAAACGCGGATCGGGACACTTCTAGGCCGGTATGGGGGCCCCAAAGACTAGCATGGGACGCTCCTGACCATAATTGGATATCCCGGATGATTTCACATCAGTGTTCGTTTCCCGATCACTGGTTTTCAGGAGAAAATGTATTGGATGGTGCGACGGGCCCCTTGTACGGATTTTGGGGGTGCAAAAAGATTGTTTGCACCCCCATGTTCTTCGATGGGGGTGCAGCTGCACCCCCTGCACCCCCTATTCCGCCGCCACTGGGGCTGCATAAGTACAAAAGGTGAGCGACGGTCCTCCTCCAGGGAAGAGGGTGAGGGATGCATAAGTACAAAAGGTGAGCGACATTTCTCTTCTAAGGAGGGGCTGCATAAGTACAAAAGGTGAGCGACATTCCTCCCCTAAGGAGGGGCTGCATAAGTAGAAAAGGTGAGCGACATTCCTTCTCTAGGGAGGGAGGGGGCTGCATAAGTTCAAAAGGTGAGCGACATTCCTCCTCCAGGGAGGGGCCTGCATAAGTACATCAGGTGAGCGACATTCCTGTCCCGGTCTAGTAAGACAGGACGTGTCGGTACCTCCCACTTTGTCACCGCTCGGGGCCAGTTGGCGGCTGTCCCCCTTAGGTCAGCGGCGGCCGGGAGAGTGTCCCTGCCAAGAGGCGACACCCGCCGCTCGGCCGGCCCAGGCCCATGGCCGCCAGGTGTGTCGCGAGCTTGGCAGGGTCCCCGCGGGGCAACGGCGCTGGCCGGAGCAGCCAGAGGCGTCCCAGGCGTCCCAGGCGGGATTCTGCCATCAGACGAACAGTGTACTACCCACTGAGCCCCCTGGAAGAGAGGAGGGGATGGGTGAAAATGACGACGGAATGTGCAACTGACCTTTGTGGCTTAGTGTTTTCTCATGCTCACTCGTGATTCAACTCTTTACCTCTTAAGCTGTTCACAATTGTTTCAAACGCTTCGTGGAAACTCTTAATTTGGAAACTCCTAGTTCACCGCAGGTCACGATCTGCGCTGATTATCACTACAAGTAGCCTCTGACCACTGACAACTGACAATCCAGGAATGTACTTACCTACAACAGAATGAACATTCTTGTCCTATCGCATCAACTTATTATAATCTACGACACATACCTCAGCATCTGACATGAATACATGGCGGCATACTGTGATGACGAATTATCCCGGTTCGCATCACGGATATGGGTCAGACTGAGGAGGAGCCTTCTCTGTGGCTCCGTTCCAACGGAGTCCCGCTCTGGCGCAGCCGTCTGTGACGTCACGGCCCCTCTGTCCGAGCGGGCCGAGGGCAGGGGGTGGGGGTGGGGGAGGCCTGGGTCACTCCCCACGCGCCGCTGACGCTCCCAATGAGTCATGTGATGAGTGGGCGCAATCGGACTTCGACTGATGCACTAGAAATGCCGAAAATGCGTTTCTTTTGGCGCTACCTCAATTTGTGTCTGCGAGAAGGTGACAACAAGGCCATCGAAGGTAAAAATACCGGGTCTGCTTTGTTGGCTACGTCGGACTTCGAGCACATTCGCAGTCATCGGCCGCACTTCCACGTGTGTCCCAGTTCTTGCGGCGACTAAGACGCTACTCGTTTGTCAGCGCGCGAGGCCAGTCGACCAAAAATAAATGATTGTGCGTTTGACTCGTGCACATTTTGTATACCATTGTGATTGTCATTACGCGCTGACTGTGTCATTGGTAACAGTACTGTGGGTTGTTAGTTATACCTTATTGAAACAGAAAGGTCATTTCGGCATTTCTTATAAGCATGTTGTATTCGCAGCTGCCTTGGCTATGCTTATTTTTCAGGGGTGTTTGTAATATTGAAACTAAATCACCTCCATTTTCTTATCAATATACATTTGACGCCCACCTAGTACGATATTGTGGACTCATTGCGGAAATGAATTCGCACTGAATATATGCCTCACTTTCGGTGGTGAGAGTATCGATGCAGTCCCGTCAGCCAGACGAGGGCGGATCAGTCGTCACAGGACTCGAGTGACGCCAGGACTGTGTCTCCCGACAGGCAGTGGTGGTTGGCTCCGCCGCCGCCTCGCCCGACAGGCTATTTCCGCCGCCGGCCAGGGGCCAGGGCAGGCCGACCTGAGGGGGACCGAATCAGGCCCATATGGCCAGGGCGATGATAGGTCCGAGGGGGCTCTAATCAGGCCCATAGCCCAGGGGTGAGTATATGGGTGAACTTGAATGGGACCATGGGGGAGTGGGAGGGATCTGGATGAACCTGAATTGGACCGTTCGGTCCTGAGCTAGGGCCAGAGTGGACCTGGGTAAAAATTAAAGACTAGGACAGAAATGAATGGGCCCAAGGAGACCTACTGGATAAGCTCCGCCTCTGAAACAACTACGCGATTGATAATATCGTATAGAAATCTCATCTGGAGTCTGAAGGACCGGATGTGTCGCCCGGCCAGTGAACCACTCGGGGCCGATCCTCGGTCGATTTTTGACGTGCCGGCGCTGGCAGCTGGCAGGCGGAGAGGCGAGAGAGAACGCCGTGCCAGGCCCAGAGCGTTCCCTGCCAATTCACTGGACGTCAGTCAACTGATGTCCGTCTAGAGAGCTGAGATCAGCGCACACTTTGGGTTGGATTATTTCGAAATTTGATGGCTGCAGGCTGACTGATTACCCTAATTTGCAGGGGAAATAGGCTACCCTTAGGTTAGGTTAGGTGAGTACTGAAATGAAACTACATGCATCGCTACTTCAAAAATGCTGACCACTATTTCACGTAAACAGGTGCTAGTAAATTGCAAATCCATCCACATCGCGTTTACATAATTGCAGGCACATCACTTCATTTGTTCATCGTTGTCATCGATACGCTACCAAGCCGCGTGCGTCTGTGATACCTACAACTCTCCCTCCCCTGGTATGCCCGCAGGTTTATATTTGAGCTCTATCCGGCGCGATGGACTCGTTCGACTCATTGCTCACCTGCTGTGTTTGCCTGGACCGGTACCGTAACCCCAAGCTGCTGCCATGTCAGCACACGTTCTGCATGGAGCCGTGCATGGAGGGCCTCATCGACTACGTTAAACGACAGGTGAGCCATCACAAGACGGTACACCCATCCCATGTGGTAGGTATGTGAAATCAAATTTCCAAAAGTAGAAGTAAAATGACGTACTGTATGCAGCCCATCTCCCCGGTTGCTGATACGATAAGTGCTGTCCTTGGTATGTGCATTTATAATCCTCCGGACAATACTTTCTCTCTTGTTTTTTTCTCTCTCTGTCTCTGTCTATGTCTCTACTCTCTGTTCCTGTCTTCTGTCTTTTTCTCTCTCTGCCTCTCTCTCTCTCTCTCTCTCTCTCTCTCTCTCTCTCTCTCTCTCTCTCTCTCTCTCTCTCTCTTCTCTCTTCTCTTCCCTTTCCATGTTTCTTGCCGTATTTGATGTTTCATAGCAGGATGTGCCGACCTGAAACTCATTCAACGGTATCATACGCAGCCTAGTCCAATATCCCACAATGTGGTTGGTTCACAAACGGCCAGGTGCGTTCAATCGAGCCGAGCTGTCTGTTATCTTTGGCACGGAACGAATAGCCTATTTCTGTGCCTTTACGGCCGATTCGGGCTTATCGAAGTCTGTTGGGACTCAAACAAACACATACAGTCTATCAGCAACGGGGGCGGTCGGCTTCCCTCAGTCCTCGTCTCGCTGGCACAGACTCGCAGTTGTGTACCTTCGACGTACCCACCCCCACATGTTGGCTCCACTACCACAACAGAAAAGTAATCGGCTCGTCTTCGATGTAGTTTGTGTCGCTTTATGAGTTAGTCGTGTCCGAGCCCTGGTCGTTTTCGTGTCACATGTGAGTTGGGTGCCGGACCAGGACATGTCCGTTTCAGGTAAAGTGTCCAGAATGTCGTGCCGAACACCGGATCCCCTACAAGGGGATCCAGGAGTTTCCCAGCAACGTGACCATGCAGCGGTTCCTGGAGATGTACCAGGCCATCTCCGGAGAGCTGCCCGACCCCAACCAGGGCCAGGTCATGGAACGATGCGCGGTGAGTGAAACACACTGGAAATCACGCTGCTGACGTAACCATCAAACACTTGTTGACCATATTCTCAACTATTAGAGAGATAAGCCATTGCCTTGCTCTACAGAAATGAATTACGTATTTCACGCAACTGTTTTAGAAGCCTCATGATCAGAGGTTCCAGTGCTGTGCATAACAAAGCTCTCTCTTGCTACAGATTTGCAACGAAAAAGAATATCTTCAGGCGTGCGCTCACTGCGACAAGAAGGTGTGTCCCGATTGCAAGTCGGCTCACGTGGACGTGCTGAAGCGAGAGGTGGTGCGCATCAACAACCAGGTCCGGCGCGGCATCCACAAGCTGTACGACATCCTGTCTGGCCTGGAGAAGAGCGCCGGCACCGTGCAACAGAACTGCACCGCCGTCCGCGAGGAGGTGGACAGCCTCGGCCAGAGGCTCATCAAGGCCATCCGAGACCGCACCGAGGTACTCAAGGCCGAGGTGGACGTCCACATGGCCACGGAGGTCAGCAACCTCAACACGCTCAAGAGTAATCTGCAACAGGAGATAGCCAACATCGAGAGCAACTCGGAGTTGGCCGAGCGGCACATGGGCGACACCACCGAGTGGGATGACGCCGAGCTCATGGACGCCAAGGATATCTTCCTCAAGACGGTCGAGTTCATCAGGAACTTCGAGCAGGAGGCTCCGTCAGCGAGTGACTATCGAAAGCCGGTGCGCTTCAACGCCTCCCAGGATCCGAACTCACTGAGTCGCACGCTGGAGCAGTTCGGAGAGCTCAACATCACGCGCAAGGAGCTGCAGGATGCTGCCGGCATCAACGGCAGCAACGGCTTCCCGGCGCTGATGCCGTCTTCCTCCTCTGCCGGGCCGGGTCTGATGCGGAGCAAGTCGGACCACCGGCTGGTGGCGCAGCTCCGTCAGCAGGAGGAGCGCTACGGCGACGACTCGGGCCGCTCGTCCCCGGTCAGCCGGCGCAGGTTCGGCGACCGCGCCGGCCGACGGGACAGCATGGCGGCCGACTACGACGACACGTCATACGACTCGCCCTGCGAGAGGAGACACAAGTACCGCTCGCGCTTCACCAGGCGCAACCTGAACCTGGACGACGACCTGGACAGCTACCGTCCGGAGCCGTCGGCGGCGGCGCAGGAGGCCGCGGCTGCTGAGAAGAAGAAGGAGCGCGAGAAGGTGCTGGACACAGAGGACGCGTCCCGGGGCGCCCTCAGCGGTATCGTGCGCATTGCTGACGTGCCGCGAGTCATCCAGAAATTGGCGGATAGCGAGCGGGGGCCACGCAAACGGGAAGAGCCCAAACCGGCGCCCGTCAAGGCGACACCGGCAGCACCTGCCGCTCCCGCTGGACCAGTCCCTTGGCGGCGACAGAAGAGCGAAGATGACGAGATCGCCAAGATCAAGAAGCAAAACAAAGAGGCGGACGCTCGATGCTCCCGAGGTGGAGCAGCGGCCGCCGCTGCTGCTGCCCCTGCTCCTGCAGATGAGACGCCTTCGCCGCGCGCTGCCAGCGTGTCTCGCTCGTCAGTGGAGAGACGCACGGGCTCCCAGCCGTCCACACCCACCTCGACAATGTCGCGGCCGCGCTTCACCCGCGAGGAGTCGGGCAGCGAGACGGAGGATTCGGTACGGCGGCGACCCAGCCGGGTCAGCCGACCCTCGGCCGGCGCGCCCATCTCGGAGAGCGCCAACGAGCCGCGCGCGCCGCCCTCCGCAGCGGCCGCCGCGCAGCGCAAGATCAGCGAGCCCATCCGCGGAGGGTCGCCGCGCGTGGCGGCGGTGGTGTCTCGCAGCTCGTCTGGCGGCTCGCTGAACCGCGAGGCGGAGGCAGCGGCGGCCGAGAGGCCGCGCGCCACGCTGCGCACCACCTGGGAGCGGCGCGGCTCGCGCTCAAACAGCTCAGAGTCCACCTCCTCGGCGAGCGAGTCGTCGGCGAGCGCGGCGCCGAAATCCACCGGAGCCGCCTTCTCCACCAACGAGCTCAAGAGCCGGTTCATGCGCGGGGGAGCGCCGCCAGCGCCCCCTGACCCGCCCCGAGGACGGGTCGGGGCTGGCGCGTCGGCAGCGCCCCCTACCCGCCCGCCGCCCGCCGGTGCTCCGTCCGAATCATCGTCAGCCACGCCCACCCGCCCGCGTTTCCAGAGCCGTTTTTTAGGCCGAGCTGGTACTCCCAAAGCAGAGCCCTCGACCAAATCCGAGAGTAGTGAGAGCTCCTCCGAGTCCGACTCAGACTCCTCCGACTCTGACTCGAGCTCCGAGGACGACACGGCCGCTCACTCGTTCAGAGGTCGCGCCAGCAGCAACATGGCCAAGACCAGCATCGGACCTCTGCTTGCACGGAGTGCCCTTGCCAGGAAGGACAGCAGCTCGGCCGCTGAACCGCCGGCTACGTCCCCGTCGACGCGCACGGGCCGGACGGCCGGCTCGTACGGGGCGGCGCGGCGTGAGGCGTCGCTCGACTACAGCACCCCGACAACCTCCTCGGACCGGTACCAGAGCCGGTACAGCCGCGACACCACCGACGCCGCCACCGAGCCCAAACCGTACGAGTCGCGGTACGGCTCCAGCCGGTACAGCGGCGACTACACGCCGACCAACGGGCTGGCGCGCTCGCGAACCTCCTCCCACCTCGAGTCGCGCTCGTCCGCCTACGATCCCGACTCCTACTCGAGTTACTCGTCCAAATACTCGCGGCCCACTCGGCCGTCTTACGACGACTACACGCCACGCTACTCATCCTACTCGTCGCGGTTTTTAAACCGCGATGAGAGCTCTGCTGCGCACCACGCGCCGGAGACGGAGGCGCCGCGCCCCACGGGCGCCGCCGCCGCCGCCGGCCCGGCCGCCGCCGTCGCTGGCGGCAGCCGCACGGAAGGCACGTCCCGGTATGCGCCCTCGACAGAGGCGCGCCGACCGGGCCGTGCCGGCAGCACGAGCTCTGACCGCTCCGACGGACAGGGGAGCGGCGGACGGGCCTCGCCCGAGCCGCCGCGCCCGTCGGAGCAGCGAGAGAACAGCGACAGTGGCGCCTCTGGCGGCGAGCGGGCCGAACCGGCGCCGGCCGCCGGCAGCAAGTCGGAGGCGCTCTCCACCTGGGCGCAGTACCTCAAGAACAAGTACGGGTACACGGGAAAGGACGGCGAGAGGGGCAAGGTACGTCCGCCGCTCACTCAGTTCGACTTTCGGACAGTTGGCGTTTTCGGTATGGTCGTGAGATGTGCTAGCTATATGAGCTCTTCCATCTCAGTATGTATGGTTCTAGCCTTCTCTCATACACTAACCGTTTTCGAGATATCCACATACTGTACTCTCCTTTACTTGGATTTTGTTGTAGATTCGTGAATTGAAAAAACATACTGTGATGTACTGACTTTAACAAATTTCAGTTAACTTTAATGGCATATGGCACGGTTTGCAAGTTGCAACCAATCTGACTTAGTGTTTCAATCACGAGGATTACTTGAGCAGCATGTGTGCGTGCAATACTGTGCATCTATCTTTACTCAACGAGTATTTAGCAAGGTGCATGTTGTTGCGAATGCCAGATGCGTCACGAAGTCGACCCGATGCTGCTCGTTTTCGTCCTGGCGGTTTATTGCTTCCTGTTGGCCTTCTCTGGGATTCAGACTCGGGAACCAGGGACGCTGGCATAGGGTGAGGCAATGCTAGAGCTCACATACTTACCATGTTGCTCGCTGTGTGATAAAGCAGTTTTTAAAGGGCCTGGAGGATGAGCTCGTGCATGAAAAACGATCCCTCACTGTAGTGAAATTTGAAAAACTGAAAATAGAAGGCAAAAGATAACCCCTAACTCCCAGTGAGTTAACCAATAAGATGGATAACTACACGATCAGCTTATGTTAACTTGTGCACACCTTGCATACGTTCTTTCAAAATGATCAAAACTTTGCTTGCCTTATGGCTTATCCTTTAACCCGCGCCCACGCTGGGCTATTCAGCCATATACGCGCCCTGCTGGGGGGCAGATTCTGCCCCCCCCCCCTGTCTAACTTCCGAACCGATGGTCGTAGAAAGACGGAGAAAACGGCAATCGAAAGCTCTCAACAAGGCGGATCTTAAGAGCCCAATTTTTTTTACTTAAGTAGGTCAGAGGTCAGGTCAAGGTCAGGTCAAGGGTACAAAATGCAAGTTTCTACAGTATCGGCCTTGAACCGTAGTTGCCGAAGAATGGACTGAGACTGATTGCCCAAAACGTGTTCTTAGACTACCAAGACAATATGCGTTGCATACAATGTCATTCAAAGGTCAAGGTCAAGGTCAGGTCAGGTCAGGTCAGGTCAGGTCACCAAAAACAAAATATAGAAAAGGGCATGTGCGACACATGTTTTATGGGTCATTAATACATACTTTACGGTGCGTTCACTGGAGATTAACCGTGCGTTAATTCGAAGGTAGCCGTGCACCAATTTAAATTGGTGCACGCTCGTGCCGCTCGTGCAGTGATGAATTTATCGACTGAAGTTTTTCGGAAGGGTCATTGACTTTCTTCTAAGAATTCCCATAAAAGGCCCTTTTAATGTCATGGACTAAGATTAATTTTAATTTTAATTCGCACCGTTAAGCATGTATTAATTAGTTTAACACATGGTTTCCGTGCATAAATGGTTTTAACGCACTCGTGGATGGAATGGAGCGCTCGTGCGTTAATGCACTCATTTCACTCGTGCATTAACACACTCGTGCTCCAATCCATCCACGTCGTGCGTTAAAACCATTTACACACGGGAAACCATGTGTTAATATATATTTTACTCATAGAATTCAATAGCCACACTCAATAAGTGATATGGACCATCTCTGGATGAATTTCAGGTCGAGGTCAGGTCAAGGTCAGGTCAAGTGAGGTCAAATTTTGAAGTTGGTTGTTAAGGCCTAAAAATGTGTCTATCTGATGCAGTTTTTCACGGCGAATCGAATGGTGCTATTTTTGTTTCCGTACGAGGTCTAGAACTTCCAAGAAATCATTTTTCAAGAATTTTGTGTGTCGTGACGTCATAAAATTTTGAATAACTCCCACATTTTTGAACCGATTCTTCTAAAAATTGGTATGTAGGTGCAGATAGATCACATCTTTGACATATATTCCGGTTTTTTCGATACACTCAAAATTTTGGATTTTATAAATATTTTCCCAAAAAAATCAGTTTTTTGAAAAAAAAAAAAATTGGCCCAAAATCCAAAATTTTCAAAAAACCGAGATAGCCATTTGATAGACAAAGTAAAATCACATATAACCTTTTTGTTACGTCTTGATTCCTTTAAAAATGAAGATGTGAGCGGCGTTTGAAATTTTGCCGTTTTTGAGGCGAAAATGGCGAACATGACGTCACTAAAACGTCAATTTCTCAAAAAGTTTCCGACGGATTTCGCTCAAACTTTCAGGGAACGTGTCAAATTGATGTATGATAAGGTACTAAAAGTTTGACGTTGCTGGCCTAACGCGTTTAGAAGTTATTGGCGAAATACGGGAGGAGGGCAGATTCTGCCCCCCCCCCCCCAGCGGGGCGCGGGTTAATCAAAGCACATTAAATCATTGCCCCAAACCAGCTACCAATGTTCGATGGCCATTGACATGTAGGTCAAAAAGCGATAGGAAGTATTTATGGGAGAACACACGCTCATGTAAATGGTCCTGTTGCAATAACGTCAACCGTTTTAGAGTCAAGTCAGGAAGCAGAGTGAAGGGTAGGGACGCTGTTTAGTATGAATAATTAATGCAAAATATTAACACGAAATGGAGCGAGTCATGCACCTATGAACAGTACACTGCTTCTGGACAAACAAATATCTTAAGTTTATTAAGTGTGTTCAGCCGCTAAAAACTAGCAACTGAAGTCCTAGTCGGCTGCTGGCTGAAGTGTAGTTAATTAACCTTGCTAAGCTAAGGCAATCAATAATCTATCATGCCGTAATAATATCAGCTCTAGTGCCGCTGCTAACGCGTCAATAATAGCCACCTTCCGAAGAGCAGCGGCGCTCCTTTTCCGCAGTCGGCTGACCCGCAGCATGTGTGTGCGTGTGTGTCTGCGTGTGCGTGTCCCGGCAGCAGGGCGTGGCCCGCAGCAAGTCGACCCACCTGCTGCGCCTGTTGCCGGGCGCCGCCGCGCCGGCCGAGGAGGGCGCCACTGCGCCGGGCCAGGTGGCGCCACTGAGCGCCGACCCGCTCGGCTGCCCGGTCCGCAGCCAGTATCTGCAGAAGGGACGGTTACGGTCAGTCCAGGCCGCCCCGCGGCTCGGAGACGTGACACTGCTCGAAAATTATGCTCATTTATCGATGCGACACCTTCCGATAATTTTCATTTTCCCTTTGAATAAAGCGTCTCGCCAATCGCCACATATTTTTCAACCTTTAAATCATTCGTTAATTTTTACTTATATACTCTAAAGAGCTTTAAAAAAAAACTATTTTCAAAACTGCTGTGATCTCAAAAATGTATGGACATGCCATGTCATACATGCCGTACATGTAAGACATACCTACATGGCTTTATCATCAATGACTCTAAAGGCCGCCCCACACTGGAACTCGCATGCGGGTTGCGAGTTTGCGGGTTTTGAGTTTGCGGGCATGATACTAATTCACAGAGTGATTAGACCGTTCCCTTATGGTAACTTCATGAATGCAGTGAAGCCGGTACACCTTCAGAAACTTACAATATAGTCGCAACACCAGAGCAATGAACCAAAATTCGACTCCAACGAAAAACCCGCAAACCTCGCAGAACTCGCAGACCTCGCTGCGAGGGAAATCGAAAATTGACTCAAATTCAACTTTTGGAATGCGATGCAAGGTCGCTCGCAAGTTAAAAACATGCAGACTCGCTTGTTAGATGGTAGTGTGGGCCACTCAGCTTAGATTATATTATTTGATTTTGAAGAAACCACAAAACCCAAAACTCGCAACCCGCATGCGAGGTCCAGTGTGGGGCGGCCTTTACCTGCATGGCGGTTCCGCGTCAGGTTCAAGATCGGGTGTCGCGGCGGAGGTCCGGGCCAGCTGACCTGGCCGCGGGGCATCGCCGTCGGGCCCGACAACGCCATCGTCGTGGCCGACAGCAGCAACCACCGCGTGCAGGTGTTCGACCAGCAGGGCACCTTCGTCAAGGAGTTTGGCCAGTACGGCAACGGGGAGGCCGAGTTCGACTGTCTGGCCGGCGTGTCAGTCAACCGGATCGGCCAGTTCATCATCTCAGACAGGTCAGCTGGCCACCAGGTTACACCCGCGGGCCTGCCGCCGCTACTTCCACGGTGGTTTCCGGAGCTCGGAGCCATGCGGCACAGTATGCATTCAGGCGCTTATACTAGCGCCATCTATTGAGCGGGTTTGAAGTCGTGCGGCACAGCATCATTCCAGGCGTCGTCTCTCAACGCCATCTAGTGACTGGAATATCAGTAGTCTCCTGGGACGGAGAAACGAAAGGGCGCTGTCACTGCGCACATTACGCGACGACTTTAAAATTAATGATTGTGAACGTAGATATAATTCGTGTGTATGGTGAGGAAATGACTTTGGTCATATTGCATTTGACGTAACGGTGGCACAGTGGGGTAGTGAAAACGAATATACATACGTAAACAGCACCCAGCGGAGCGGCATCAACATCTGGTCAATTGATCATACCTCGTAGATAATAGACGAATGCTGCAGTTTTCAATTGTTTATATACATTTTTCTCTTTTTTGTGTCCATGAGCAGCGGCCACTACTAAACTGCAATATGCTTACTGTCAATGTATTTTACAGTTTCCAAGTATGTTCATCCCATCTATGACATTCGTTAACGTCTCTCACGTTTACATCATTTCATTTTGTTCCCAGATACAATCACCGTATTCAGATATTCGACCCGTCCGGCCGGTTCCTGCGCTCGTTCGGCCAGAACGGTACCATGGAGGGCCGCTTCAACTACCCGTGGGGCGTCACCACGGACGCGCTTGGCTTCATCTACGTCTGCGACAAGGAGAATCACCGCGTCCAGGTAATGCCGGCTGCTGGCGAAGAGTTGGATGGGTAGCGGGGGAGAATGGTGGACCGAGGCAGGGTGATTTGTGAAAGGGGTAAAAACGGGAGAGCATATACCTATTCCAGTCGGTGGGCACAAGCCGTATCATCGCTCACCACATGTATGATCTGAAAGTTGAAACTCGAATACAGACAGTGGGGATCACGTTCAGTATCCTGAGCTTGTCATTGTCATAAGCAATAAGCATGTCACTCATGTGCCTTTCTATGTTTTAGGTATCTGAGCAATCATCACCAGAAAACAATGATCAAAATATACACATTCTTCTCTAACACCCCTTCCCCTGAATTCAGATAGATATTTGAGATCTTTAATAGTTGATATTTTAATAACTTCAACTCACTGACCGTCCACCCGGCAGGTGTTTCAGTCGGACGGCACGTTCGTGGGCGCCATCGGCTCGGAGGGGCACACGCCCGGCCAGCTGGCGCACCCGCACTACATCGCCGTGAGCGCTACCAACCGGGTGGTAGTCACCGACAGCAACAACCACCGCGTTCAGGTGTTCGACGTCAACGGAAAGTGTCTGCACACCTTCGGCGGCGAGGGCGGAGAGGAGGGAAAGTTCAAGTTCCCCAGGTAAGACGCCGGGACGGCGGTGGGTCGGAAAGGGGTGGGGATGTAGGGAAGATGGCACGGCGAGATGGTCGAGGACGATAGTTAAAAGATAATCGGTCAAATGATTTTCCATGATTTTCTAAAGATAAGGTGGAAGTTTTTTTTAAATTTTAGTTTTCATATGTTCGAATGATAACGTATTGCGTTGTAAAGGAAATCTAGCTTCATAACTTTTGTTGATTGTCATTCCAGCGCAACAGAACCCAACCAGAAATATTCGTTCCACAAATCGCCCGATGTTTGCAGTCACATTTATCACCGTCCGTAGCATGACTCTACTCTCAGCTAACCGGGTCCGTGTCTCGTGCCGCGCAGGGGTGTAGCCGTGGACGACCAGGGCTACATCATCGTCGGCGACTCGGGAAACAACCGGATCCAGATCTTCAGTCCCGACGGCGGCTTCCTGAAGGCGTTCGGCGGCTGGGGCGGCAAGGACGGAGAGTTCAAAGGTAACTAACTAGTAACTACCCTTCTCCGCTCCATTAATTCATTCTTCACTCATTTGGCTCTTATAGCTCATGACCAGTGTCCATTCACTTCGCAGTCTAGCCAGTAAATTTCCTCGCTCTCGCTAATTCAGCACACCTTCCCCAAGCCTCATGATAAAAGCCCTCCCTTTCTTGCCTAAGTGCTCTTCTACCTTCTGCCTACTAGGGCTTTTTGTGATGACACGACTTTATTGGTCTGTGCCCATTTTAATTTCCAAACGCGCTAGCATGTCAAAATCTGAATTTATCTCTAAAAAAAATCTGAGTTATACGATCTACGATCTGGGAGCTTCAATCGGGCTACTTTCATTCAAATTCCAAGTCATCCCCAAAAAAGGTACACAATGATCTCCATAATGGACTGATAATCTGTTAACATTGGACTGCAAACGCCAAATCGCCGAGTCCTCACATCATACATGAACATCCCACCCATCGCTACAGGCTGACCGCCAGCCCTACCCCCGACCTCGTCCGTTCCAGGTCTGGAGGGTGTGGCCGTCACCTCTACTGGCAACGTGCTGGTGTGCGACCGCGAGAACCACCGGGTGCAGGTGTTCTGACGTCACTCGGTCCAGTGACGTCACTCGCCTGAGACCAGTGACGTCACCATGACGATGGCAGCCGCCGCCCCCCTCCATAACGCGCTCCCGTCCGCTCGCCCGGCGCGCGAGCGGACTCTGACGACATAGGAACCGGTACCCTGTAGCGTCCTCCACCGCCCGGCTGGCAGCAATGCGCTCTTTCTCCGCGCGAGTAGGATTTTACATATGAACTCAAGTCTAGTCGACAGAGAGCGATTCAGTATGAACTGTAACCGATGAATACAATTTAATAAACAATGCCGATGAGCGTGTGTTCAAAACGCCGTGCTTGGTGTGAGCTCGAGAGCGCTGTATTGAAGAAAAATACAGACTGTGTAATCTCAGAACAGTGGCATCACAGAGCTCAATGAATACACCGGAAACGCAGCCTTGTTGAAGATCCGATCAGGTGGACCCATGCCCTACACACACCCGTCATACACCAGCACAGAGTATCCGGCAATCATTGGTAAAGCACGACAGTAATAATACTACGAGTAGATAAGACAATGCACTACTAAATGAAAGATACGACGTGGGGACCAGAAAGCCAAGGCAGCACATCTCCCATATAGGGAGCCTCACGGTACGATGTTGTTATAACTCACCGAAGTGCATCGTGGATATGTCCGGCGAGTGCAACTAAATCGCAGCCCATGATTCACCCGTTCCACAGCGCAATACGTCACAAGAGCTACATTGTGCGGCGGCGGCCCCAAGTCACACGGCTCTGAACTCCCGCCAAACGACGCAAGGTTACTTTACCTCGTTTATACCCGAATTACGCCCAAACTCGGGCCATCGAACCTCCGAACAAGAGTTCGTGAGTCTTGTGGCGTGGATCCTAGCATCGTTAACTTTTCTGCCGAGCCCAGGCAACGTTCGATGCATCTACAAACGCCTTTATAGTAGCCCAATCGAAGAAGATACACTGACCGTTACGCACCTCTGGGCGACATTTTAGCCGATTTGCCTACAAACTAATCCGCGCCGGTGCGACGGCTTCCAGATTATACCGGCGGCGCCATATCTGCGGGGCCAGCGGACGCCGAACGCGGCCGCGCCGCGGGCGAACTATTTCACTGAGGATACACAGCACGGACCTTTGGGTCACAGCGACGCGCCGACCTATCTCAGAGGCAGGCGCTCGCGAGAGGTTAAATAAGTAGGCGTGAACAGGAGTGGAGAGCAGCGTAGGGCGCTGATCGAGTGGTAATTAAGATCATGTAATAAAACCCAGCCAGCTGCATGCAGCCATTAAACGGAAAGGCATATCGCTTAAATGTAAGTACGTAAAACCTGAAAACGGAATAAAATGACAATCACCGCGGCATAAAAACGAGTAAGAAGGTAAGAAAGCCCGTACATGATTAAGGCATAATAGCAAACATAATCTGACAAAAGGGCAAAATATAACTTGCCCCAGTCGTGTACTAAGAAAATACTAGCGACCCTCACTCATTTTTGGAAGCACTTGTTACAGAGTAAAAAAAAATGCAGCCTCTGATGAGTGAGGTGGCGCCGCCGCCGGCTGACCGTCACAGTTCAACTTCACTCCCCAGTCGCCAGGCGACACCACCATCGGTCGAGCGCTGCACGCGCGGCTACAAGCCGTCCGTGATGTGGGACCAGTCCACCAGAGGATCAAAGCGGTTCCGCTCACTGTGGCCCTTTCTGCTCAGCTCGTTCTTAAAGAACTCCACCGTCTTGGGAATGCCTTCGCTCAGCGGCACCTGGCCGAACGGAGCGTAAAGATCAGCTCATCAGGAGGCGGCCCGGACTGACAAACTTTGCTCGACACTACATTCATAGCCTGTGTCAGGAGGTGCAGAAAAATACCTAAAAATATTGTAAAGAGACCTCTTATGAAATGCTGACCCTTACGATGGATGAGCTATGTGAAGCTTTGTCATATGATGTGATGCAGCAGGAGCGTGGAAGCTCAACGGAAGCGTATCAAGAATTCAAATAAAATGTTTTGCTCCGTTCCAGTCATTATTTTATACCAAATGCCAGAATGAAAAATAAGACAAAAAAATTGTCATGGTAAAAAGCAATGCATCGCATAGGCATTCGTGAAACGAACGGTCGGCCTTTGACAATCAACGCCGGTCGTCCCAGCCTCCTTACATCTGCCACAGGTTTTCCCCTCCCTCCTGTAAGCTTACCCTGCACCGATCTGCAAGCCCAGCCCAGCCCAGCCCAGCCCGACCCGGCCCAGCCCAGCCCAGCCCAGCCCAGCCCGATCCGGCCCAGCCCAGCCCAGCCCAGCCCAGCCCAGCCCACCACGGACGCACCTTGGGCTCCCAGTTGAGCAGCTCCTTGGCGCGGCGGATGTCCGGTTTGCGCTTCTGCGGGTCGTCCTCGACAGCGTCCAGGTACTCGACCTCACTGGTGCCACCCACCGTCTGACGAATAATGTGAGCGAACTCTGACCGAGGGGAGGGGAGGGCTTGGTTAGAAACTGGTGCCGTCTGGCGGATGATGGGAGCGAACATGAGGGAGGGAGGACTGGGCCAGAAACTGGTGCCATCCGGCGGATTATGTGAGCGAACTCTGAAAGGGGGGTCAGTCAGAAACGGGTGCCGTCTAACGGACTATGCGAGCGAACTCTGAGGGGGAGTGGTTAGACCGACAGACCAAAGCCGTGAGAGTTGGAGTTGGGCAAGAATGGGAAGCACGCACCACGACCCACATTCAGTAATCAAGTCAGCGTTTGAGGGGAAACTTCGTTGCCTGGTTGAAACCAATCGTTTGCACCTGATTAACCCTTTTGTGAAAATAAATGAGAAGCCAGTATGCAACAAAAACAAATAGAGTTTTTCATCAGTCCGAAAAGACACTACATAAAACGCCTAAGTAACGAATAACAAATGCCTGCAGATAGCAGCCGACCGACCCCGCCAGTTGTTGTTGTTTATTAGGGTTTACGGGCGCGTCGACTGCGGTGGTCATTATGCGTCCATAACGCTGTACGAGAGCCCGTCTCGAGGCTCCGCTGTCCGTCTGTCGGTCCTGTCTAGTCCCTTACCTTCTATGGTGTGCTCCACAGGGTTGCCGAGGTTGACGGGCCCCGTGTGGCCCGACTCCATCAGGGCGACCAGCCCCTCCACCAGGTCAGAGACGTACTGGAACGAGCGCGTCTGCTCCCCAGAGCCGTAGATCTGCCAGGTGGGAAACAGAGGCGTTACAAGACGACAGGGGTGAAGGGGGATATAGGGGCATGGTGGAACGGAGAGTGAACACTGATTGGAACACAAGTTGCTGGCGCTGTGTGGGCTCCACGGAAACAGGATCATAGACAGCGCACACGGGTATACGTACAGCAAGATTAGTTAGTCTCAAAGGTTTACCAAAAATTGGTGACTTTGGTAGACATCAAGTATAACATGAGGCAAGTGAAGTTAAAACAAGAACCACTGACCGTGAGCGTCTTGTTCTGGAGCGCCTGCAGCACGAAGTTGCTGACCACGCGGCCGTCATTGTTATGCATCCGCGGTCCGTACGTGTTGAAGATGCGCGCGATTCCTATGCTGACGTTCGACTGCTTCTGGTAGGCGAAGGCCAGCGTCTCGGCCACGCGTTTGGCCTCGTCATAGCAGGCGCGAGGCCCTGCGGCACGGGGAGGGAGGGGGGGGGGTGAGACTGTGAGGGGCCACAGTCTGTAGAAGTGTAGAGGTTACTCTCAGCCACGAATGCACCCGTGACAAAAGTCTATTCGGAAATAGCATGCTGGTGAAGAAACGGGCGAGGAAACGAGCGAATAAGCAACTCTATGTTCCAAAAACATCGCAAAATAACCGGTGCATACTACACTGCCAAGTTAGTAACTCCAAGAAAAACAACAACCGCAAGCCGGAACACACTAAATGAACAACAGCTCGCACAAACATGCCCTAGGCAAAAACTTTCAGCCGCCGAGCCTCAACGATTGGCTCAATTCATTAACTTCTGGGAAACAGCGCGGTGCGGTAAACAGGGCTCGGCTCGCTCGCTCACCGATTGGGTTGACGTGTCCCCAGTAGGACTCGGGCTGCGGGTGCACCTCTGGGTCGCCGTACACCTCGGAGGTGCTCGCGATCAGGATCCGCGCGCCCACCCGCTTCGCCAGGCCTGTGGGAGGAGATGGCGCACGTGTCAGAACATCGACAACCGCACAAGGACGATCAGCGTGGGAAGCGGCGTGGGTTCGCTATTGAAATATGTAGCATGTACCACCGGATGAGTTTATGTAAGATCAAACAACATCTGAATGACTCACTAGTTAAACAAATAATTGTATTACATTGCAGTCGGGCGTAGGAAGCATCAAAGCACCTACCGAGATAAGGATACTGATCGGAAAATACCAGCCTTTCAATATTTCATTATCGATAATGCCTTGAACTATAAACTACAAAGAGCTATGTACACGGTTTATCAAAGTTCAAAACACTGAAACATCCCAGACCCGCTCTCTGAGTAGTGAAGTAATCTTGCGCTCACGTCCCTCTGATTCTTACCGAGCATGTTGATGGTTCCCATAGTGTTGGTTTTGATGGTTTTCACCGGGTTGGCCATGTAGTGCGGTGGGCTGGCCGGACTGGCCAGATGATAGATCTGATCCACTTCCGCGTAAAACGTGTTGATGATGTCGTGGATGAAGAGCTCAAAGTTCTCGTGGCCGAGCCACTGTTCGACGTTGCGCTTGCGGCCCGTGTAGAGGTTATCGACCACGGTCACCTCGTGGCCTTCGAGCATCAGCCGGTCGGCGAGGTGGGAGCCGACGAACCCAGCGCCGCCCGTGATCTGGCGGAGAGCGGGGGCGGGGAGGGTCGGCGGTCGGAGACACCGCGAGCACCCACTCACGAGCACCCACGCGCTCAGCTACAAGGATGTTATTCGACGTTCAAAGTAGCTGCACAAAGTTCTGAAAAGCCTCGAGAAGTTATTTCAGTCCGCGGGCAATGCCATCAGAATACAAAGGTGGGCGGAACAGTGAGAAACGCCAATGCTCCCACTCAAACCAAACTTTATGTAAGGGAAAAAGCATCAGTAATACTTTATCAGTGTAGACACTGTACACAAAGCTGAGGTTACGCATTGCACACGAAGCACAAAATAATCAAACAGTGCCAGGATACCGAGCTGGCCAAACATACATGTAATAATCCACTTAGGCCAATCAAACCACTGAAGCTTCAGCTTTAATTGGAAACACCGTCCGAGCCGGGGGCACCCGTCTCGATATAGCTCACCAGAATGCGTTTGCGGTCACCGTGACTCCTGAACTTGACCTTCGGGTAGAATTTGGAGCCGGCGCGCAGCTCGATAGCCGTGAGCTTCTTCTCGAGTGCGCGCAGCTTCGCCTTGTACTGATGGAGCAGCTGGGTACTGCACTGCTGGACCTATGCAGCGACGCACACAATTAGATCAGGACATAGAGATGGGAACAGAGAGAACTAAATGAATGGAGGCAGAGATAGAGACCAGAGATCTGAGACAATAAGTAGCAACAAAGAGTCGGAGGCACGCCACGTAAACAAAAACGCGTACCGTGAGATTATCGGTAATTATTGTGTGTTTATCGGAAATCTGTGCATTAATGAAGCATTTTGCTAATAGTTTGATAGGTTTGAAATGTAAATTTTCTAGTTCCCCATATCTGGACCCCAATATTCCACCCTTCTCGCCCCTCCCCCTAACCCCGCCCACCTCCTCATGGGAGAGCGCATCCGACTGGCAGTCGAGCTCGCTGCTGCTGGGCAGCGGCCGCGCAGGGGTTGGCGGACGCAGGCTAGCGCGGCGCGCCTCATTCCGTGACCTCTCGGCCAGCACGGCGGTCGAGCCGACCAGCACGTGTCCGCCCAGCACCAGCACCGCTGCTGGCAGAGAGGGGAGGTCAGAGGGGGGAGGAGTTGCAGCGGGGAGCAGAGGGAAGGTCACAACTCACAGTGGGGAGGGAGCAGTGGCAAGATGGCCACGAACCCCTAAGATGGGATGAAACAAATAAAAAACTTTGAAAAAAGTTTGAAATCACAGCTCAAAAAGCTTCTCCACTTCTTGAAATCACTCCAGTCGACGTCCTGCAAACTGACTTCACATACTTGCCTTGTCAGGTAAATGAAATTAATGGCATATACTGAAACATAACTCCAAGACTGCTCTCCTTCCCAAAAATAGTGTTTGTCCTACTTGCCTGTCACAATGGCAGCCCCGCAGACAGTCAGAATGAAGACTCGCCGCGCCGCCCGGTAGGACACCATGTCTGCGGGTTGTCTGTGGTTCTGGAGGTCACCAGCGTCCAGTGGTCGGCTGAGGTCACCAGCAGCGTTCTGCGGCTGCCTGATCCGGCTGTCCCCACACCAGTGAACAGAGGAGGAAGGGAGATTGTGAGAGGGTGGGGGAGGCAAGGGGCAGGAGGGGAGAGAGGAGAAAGAGAAAGGCAGAAGACAAACAGAGACAGAAAAACAGAATTGGAAGAGGAAATAAGAGGTGGAGAGAGAAATTCAAATGAAACACAGCAAAAAAGGTGAAAAAAATAAAAGCGAATGAGAGGATAGGTGACAAGAAGAGAAAAAGAAATGGAAAGGGTAATGTAGGAAGACTGAAGGAAGGCAAATACAGATTCACCCATGTCCTGAACTTTTTAGACAGTCTTGCAGTCAACTCTCAGAGACAGAGTGCATTTTAAAATCCTATGATATATGAAATATGAATGTCGCAAACATTTAGAGATTTTACACCCAATATACATAATTTAATGAGGCATTTTGAACACCTTCTCACATCTCCTCACCTTCTCATATCACATCTTCTCACCTTCTCACACATTGAACATAAACACAATGTAATTAGGTACCTATCATTTTTTGTTTGTTGGCTATAGAGCATTAGTAGAGCACACATCATATGAAGGTTTTCCAACTAAGGAGAGGCACTGTAGGTTTGTAGGTTTTAAGTTTGTATGCTATGCTGTAAGTTTGTAGGTTTGTAGGTCATCATTTTTTACATTTTAGGTTGTAAGTTGTAGGTTGTATGTTAGGTTGGGTTAGTTTCAGGTTAGGTTAGATTGGTTTTGGTTTGGTTTTGTTAGAAAGAACTAGCATCTCTGGGCATAGCCCCTCTCCTTGGTTGCAAAACCTTTGTGTGACGTCTGCTCTACTAATATAATGGTAGTTGCTAAGCAGGCGTCACACTTTCGTGTATATGGCTTGAGGTACTGTGACGGCCTGACGGGCTGAAGATAATATTGAGGCTTTCGGACATGTCAACTGAGGTGGTCATTTAACCCGCGCCCGGCTGGGGGTCCTGGATTTCCACGCCCTGCTGGGGGGGGGGGGGGGTGTTTGAACACCCCCCCTTGTAACTCGGCTCCTGGGCCACGTAGCGATACGCGGAAGGCGGCGTTCGAAAGAGCGTAAAAAATAATGACGAAATCACTTCGGTCAATTTTTTGGTCAGGTCAAAGGTCAGGTCACCAGAGGTCATTGAAGGCAAAATTTCGCCGATTTCCAGGTCGAATGTCGAAAATTTCCAAGAAGCTAACGCATAACTCGGGAACCAATAGAGCTACAGCGCCGCGGAAAAGTGCATTCGATAGCCCTATTAACGCCCTTTCTGAGTAATTCTCTCAGATTTGACCTAACGTCAACGGTTTTGCCTGCAGGGGGCAAAAACTGCAAAAATAGCCGATTTTTTCGGAAACAGTTTTTCTGCAATAACTTTTGACCCAAGCCTTGTACGAGCTTACTTTTACCGGCATCGTGTTCCTCTCGTCAAGACGCATCGAATGAACTATAACTTGACCTTGAAAGGTCAACTTGAAAATTTGACCTCAGGTCAAGGTCATGACCTGACCGGAAAGGGTCATGTTGCATATCAGTCGATCCGTATAGTCGAGCTGAACACATATAAGGCGTTTTCATCGCTCTAGCATGCCTCTATCAAAAGTTTTTTGCGAAAAACTGTTAGATACCATTCGTGACCTAAGATGACCTCAGGGCACAAACAAGGTTTACGGACACCATTTTCATGTTCAGTGTGTCTAAACCACTTGTACTTCGGTGTTTGGGAGTGTTTATAATGTCTTTCGTCCAAAAGAGGCGCATTTCAATTTTCTCCCATTGACTTATAATGGGGAGGTCGCAAAATTGACCTGACCTTAGGTCATCGATATCAAAATTCTGAGATATACATTTTGTACATGCTATTGCTCTTAGCAATCGCTGAAAGTTTCAAAGCGATCGGTCACTCGGTGTAGCTATGACAGACATTGAAACTTTTTATGAGGTGAGGTCACTTCAAGTGACCTGGTGACCTGACCTTGAATGACCTTGGTCTGAAATTTTCACAACATGTGTAGAATTGATGTATGATAAGGTGTACCAAAAACGGCGGCGGGAGCGCCGCCGTTTTTTAGATATTCGCGAAAAACCACAAGGGGGGTGTTCAAACACCCCCCCCAGCAGGGCGCGGGTTAAAATAAGAAAGTAATACCTACTTGAACTTATTTTACTATCAAATTTATCCCAGAGCAAAGCATCTGATTTCTCTCTATAAAATAAAAATATGTAGGTATGACCTAACACCCAGGTTATTGGATATCAGCATTTATGTTAGAGTACCAAACCAAATACAAATTAAGGCTACTTTGTGTACAAATGCAAGCAATAATAAGCGTGTACCCCTTCTTGGCATCATTTTGGCTAGGATTAAACATATTAATTATTTAAAATAGTAAGTTTTCACGTGGTGCAAGAAAATTCATCATCACTTTGGACTTTGACTTCGGCGTACAAGAAAGATTAGGTGAAAATAATTAAGACATTCACTCAGCTCAATCTGTAGGACATTTTGAAATTGATGCACAACTTAAAGATACATTTATGCATTTCATTTCTATTTGATACTACTCAGTGATATTATTTTTACCTGTGCTTGTAAGTTGTAATTACATGACTTGACATGGGACACAGACTCAGTGTGGCCACAGTCCACACAATCACCTACTTACTCAGGCAGACTCAGGCAGACCAAGGCCAGGCAGACTGCGAAGTAAATTCAATTCTACAGTATAAATCGCATGGCTCTCGACACCGTATGCATATTCTGACAAAGCCAAGACAAAGCAAATAAATACACAAATCGAAATATTAAGCCACGAACACTAAAGCCAAAGCCCAAATCCAAGGCCCGCCAAATCCGTCGCAATCGTAGCATTTCAAGGTTGGCACTAAACATATAATATAGAAAGGAGAATGCTACACTTACCGATGACGTAATGTTGCCCTCTTGCTCACTGATGCCATAATAAGAGCAAATTTTGTTGAAAGAACCACAGTATAAAAAGGCTTGTAAAACGGCCTTGATAAAACGGAACCTGCCAACATGACATCCAACATGAGATGGAGATGGACAAGAGCCAATCCACGCTCATTGCCACCAGTGACCAGAGTCCAGAGGCGGATCCAGCTCAGAGCTTTTGGGGGCGGGGGGGGGGCAAACCATAACAATTTATCGATTCTTTCCATGCCTCGTCCATAGGCGTAATGTTAGAATTATGCTGTTTGGGGGGGGGGCAAATGCCCATTTTGCCCCCCCCCCCTGGATCCGCCACTGATTGCCACGGGTATAGGGGGCGGGGCGGTGAGGGCTAATATATGGCTAATATCTATAGGAATCTTCACTGGCGGATCCAGGGGGGCCACGGGGGCCATGCCCCCCCCCCCCCCCAAAGGCCTAAAGTGGCCTGTTTGGCCCCCCCCCCCAAAAACGTCAGAAAAATTTCTAAGAAAATATACCTTGATGGAGGTTTTTAGCCACTTGGTGAAGTAAAGTTTCCACAGCATAATATGGAAGCAATATGGTAGCAGTGAGGGTCAGTCAAAAGTTGCGCGAGCGGAGTCGACCTTCAAAAAAAGACTGTTGTTGGCACGTGTTTATGGCGCGGCTGCTGGTAGTTGGCGGTGTTTCGCGTGGTGTGGCATCACTGGCGGATCCGGGGGGGGGGGGGTAGCACGGGAGCCTGAGGTGCCCCTGACAGGCCCGTGGTGCCCTTGCTAGGCCTGTGGTGCCCCTGGACCCTGGCAGGCCTGTGGTGCCTCTGGCGGGCCTAGGGTGCCCCTGCTAGGCTGCTGAGTGCTGATGCCCCTGGGACCTGACAGGACTGTGGTGCCCCTGACAAGCCTTAAGTGCCCCCAACAGGCCCGTGATGCCCCCGACAGGCCCAAGGTGCCCCTGCGACCTGCGTGATGCCGTGATGCCTGCGAGGCCGGTGGTGCCCCTGCGAGGCCGGTGGTGCCACTGCGAGGCCGGTGGGGCCCCTGACAAGCCCATGGTGCCCCTGCGAGGCCGGTGGTGCCCCTGCTAGACCGGTGGTACCCCTGGCAGGCCTGTGGTGCCCCTGCTAGGCCGCTGGTGCCCCTGGGCCCTGACAGGACTGTGATGCCCCTGACAGGCCCAAGGTGCCCCTGTAAGGCCGGTGGTGCCCCTGTAAGGCCTGTGGTATCCCTACTTGGTCTCTGGTGCCCCTTTGACAGGCCCATGGTGCCCCTGCGAGGCCGGCGGCGCCCCTGGCAGGTCTCTGGTGTCCCTGACAGACCTGGGGTGCCCCTGACAAGCCTGTAAGGCCCCTCACAGGCCCGTGGTGCCCTTGCTACTTGCTAGGCCTGTGGTGCCCCTGGCGGGCTGGTGGTGCCCCTGCTAGGCCGGTGGTGCCCCTGACACGCCTGTGGTGCCCCCGGGCACCAAGGGGGGTCATGACCCATGTGGCCCCCCTTGGATCTGCCACTGATACATAATATATTGATTTGTAAAGGCGTTATGGCTTATGCAATATGCAATTGCAGGCACTTGGTATGCCTCACTTATCCCTTATTGGGGGCTCTGGCGGGCTCCTGAGGGCCCACGTCTATCTCCGGGAGCCCTTGACAGGCTCCTTTGGGTCCTTTCAGTCCACTATAGCATAAGAGGTCTCCATGCGAGTCCTATACATCTGAGGGCGTACCCTGACGTCTGAGGTACCCAACTGCAGCTCCAATGGTCTCTTACACTGGCGGATCCAGGGAGGGGGCATTTAGGGCCATGCCACCTTCCCAGAGGTCTAAAGTGGCCCGTTTGCCCCCTCCCCCAAACGATAATGAAACATAGTTCAATCAGTGCGTGGCCTAGGAGCATGGGCGGCGCCACCGGGGGGGACGGGGGGGACAGGTCCCCCGCTATCGAAAGTTAGGGGGGTACAGTACCCCCCTATCGGCGAGGCCCGTTCGATAGTTGATATTAATGAATTATAGAGCTCTCCGTCGCATTTAATGCATCGTTGGTTAATCAAGGCAGGTTCTGAATAAAGATTGCTGTTGGGATGCATCGCAGGGGGTCCTGGCCATCTGCAAAAGGTGTGGAGCTGTGATGCCTGTAGTTATAAGGTGATCGGCAGGGCCTCGGGGATCGTGCCCCCTTTTTGGGGCGCCAGGCAGGGTTATTACTTATTACCTCCCCACCCCACTGCCAGACCCCATTGCCGATAAAACCAAGTTCACTGAAATTCCATAGATTTCCGTTACTATATGAAAATTTTCCATTCCTAATTAGTCAAATTCAAGCATGGCAGTTCTACCACAGGAACCATTTGTAATCTATGCCATTTAACCCCAGCACTTGTGGGGAGAAGTGTTCGGATAGATCACAGGCAGGACCAAAAAAGCACGCAGTAGCCCAAGACCTTAATAATTGGATATAGCATCGGCTCCCTCTCGTCAAGGGGTTCGATAGCACTCGTTTTTTTTTCTGCAAAACTAAGTTCGGTCGGCGGTCGAACGGCTGGGGGTCTAATCGAGCCCCCCATCCCTCCCCTTCTTACGTCAGCGGCTGTGAAAATGCCATTACCAGCTGTTGAAACATGGCAGTTGCTTTTGCATGAGTGCACGAAAGGGTTTTAGGTCCATGATACGTGAAAGGTTCTACATGAAAATTGAGATACACCAGCTTATCAAATTGTGCTCACTGTGGTGCGCTCGGTTTTACCTTGACTAGTCTTTGAATTCTGGGGTGAAACAGACCAGTCAATAAACCTGTTCCATAAGGAGAGCCACTAATGCTAAAGAGATGTGGGATGACGTTTCCAGAGACCTTCATTACCTCCCAAAGGGGGTGCCCCGCCATTTGCCAATCCCTGCTGTAGTTGTTACGATTGGAGGGTGAATATGAGAACGATGCAGGTCGTGCCAGCTCGATCATGACGAACACAATGGTGCCGACATCACAGCTCTACTGCCATTTTTGACGAAGTTAATCAACAAGCACCGGAATCCTACCCTGGGGCATTTCACCTGCAGAGGTCGCCGGACCTGAGACCCTTTCACTCAATTTTTTCAACGGTGCATGCGCTCGTTTTTCCCGCGAAGCTCTTGGCAAGTAAAATCCATCAGAAAGTGTGATCAAATAACGGCTGGTGACCTTCCATGACCTAGCATGGCCTTTTGAGTGACCACCGATGACATGACCACTGACGGCTAGCCATTAGCTGCACCCTGCCCGTTGCATATGGATCAGGTGGTGATGTCATGATTCTGAAATTATATTGCAGTTTTGGCGCACTTGTCAGAGCAGAAGACATTCCCACTTTTCCTCCATGATTCCCGAGTGAAGCCCTGAAGCTGACCAGACGTAAGATCGAAAATTTGAAAGTACGAAACGTAAGAATAGCTGGCACTGCTACTCATACCTAAGCAATTCGCAGCTTGTAGGAAACCAGCTTTGAGTTGGCAAGACTGCAAATTTTGATTTAGAGTCAAGGATGCTTGAAAAGGTGATCGATCTTAGGTGTCCTAGGATAAGTTTGGAAACGGGATGCACCATTCGATGTGTTTTGGGCCTTGCCAAGTTTCGCGGCGTTACATGCCTCGTTTTTTTTTTTGCATACACGATCAGTATCTACTTTTGGGATTTTCGATTTTCGGTCCCCGTCCCCCCCTATCGAAAACCCGTGGCGCCGCCCCTGCCTAGGAGCCGAGTTAGACAGGGGGTGTTTTACTACCTCCCGGCCCGCAAAGGGACCCAAGCACTGACTCGAAGCGGGTTAACTGGTCGACAAAAGCAATGGTAAGTGCTTACAAAGTAATATAAAGGCATGGGTCGGGTGGGCTACCATTTATATATTTTTCTTTCTAGTTAAAAAAAAATCATAGTGTCGGGGCTGTGACGAAAAATAAGTGGCCTAAATCCGATGAGAAAACAGGATTTGGGGGTACCCTAGGTTTGGCTCCAGCATGAGTTGGCCCCCCCCAAAACGCAAGCCTGGATCCGCCAGTGGGAATCTTGCCATGGCTTACATAAATAAGGCTCTCAGGCTCCTTCGCCGAGGGAGCCTGCAAGCCGACAAGGCTGTGGCTGCACTAGCGAAACGTTTTTGAAACGTTTTTGTTGGCTTATAACTTGTGTTCCTTGTTGTGTTCATAGCAAAGATAGAGCGAAATGAAATAGAACACCACTACATGTGTATGCGAACACCCATGTGTATTCACTGGTGGATCCACCGCCGGGGGGGGGGGGCATTTGGGGAAATCCCCCCCACCGCGGCGCATCGCCAGAAATAAGCGTTTTTATAATAAAACGAAAACAAAACTTTCATTAGGATTATTTTGTTTAACCCGCGCCCGGCTGGGGGTCCTGGATTTCCACGCCCTGCTGGGGGGGGGGGTCTGAACCCCCCCCCCCTTCTAACGCGGCTCCTGGGCCACGTAGCGATACGCAGAAGGCGGCGTTCGAAAAAGCGTCAAAAATAATGACGAAATCATTTTGGTCAATTTTTTGGTCAGGTCAAAGGTCAGGTCACCAGAGGTCATTGAAGGCAAAATTTTGCCGATTTCCAGGTCGAATGTCGACAATTTCCAAGAAGCCAACGCATAACTCGGGAAGCATTAGAGCTACAGCGCCGCGGAAATGCGCATTCGATAGCCCTATTACGCCCTTTCTGAGTAATTCTCTCAGATTTGACCTAACGTCAACGGTTTTGCCCGCAGGGGGCAAAAACTGCAAAAATAGCCGATTTTTTTCGGAAACAGTTTCTCTGTAATAACTTTTGACCCAAGCCTTGTACGAGCTTACTTTTACCGGTATCGTGTTCCTCTCGTCAAGACGCATCGAATGAACTATAACTTGACCTTGAAAGGTCAACTTGAAAATTTGACGTCAGGTCAAGGTCATGACCTGACCGGAAAGGGTCATGTTGCATATCAGTCGATCCGTATCGTCGAGCTGAACACATCTAAGGCGTTTTCGTTTAAAATATGTATGATGAGTTGTGCCAAAACCAAAACGTCGGCGCTCTGCGTCTGTTTTTTTTTTTAGATAGGTATTTGCGAAAAACCGCAGGGGGTGCTCAAACACCCTGCAGCAAGGGGGGGGGGGGTTAAAATGCATCAACTTTGCAGCGTGGCAAAAAAATGACCTAAGGTCACTGATGATCAGGACACCGGTCAAGTTAACCCTAGAACGCCTAGGGGGGGTTGTATCACCCCCCCCCCCCCGAGGTTTTCTCGAAGTGCACGCTAAACGGCTTGTCGTAGCGGGCTGAAATTTTCAATACCCTCTGGGGCAACCTTTGCGCATCCTTTGCCGAAAAAATTGATCGGGTCATGTCAGGTCACGGAGTTATGACGTCATAAGAGGTACAGCCTCCGGCCGACAGTTACCAAACGTGTGCGCCGAATCCCTAGGTTTTCTGCCGGTGATACCCACATTGTTTGATGGATCATGATGAAACTTCCCATGCATGTTGGGGCAAGCATTGGCTATCGTGTGGTGCAAGAAAATTGACCGGGTCAGGTAAGGTCACGGAGCTATGACGTCACAAGAGGAACAGCGTCCGGTACTATTTTTGAAAAGCGCCCGAACCACTATTTTGCTAATTCTTGTCACCTCAATGGGAATATGCAGCAATATTAGCTTCTATAGGGAGCAAATAGACCTCCCAAATCCAAAAATACAATCAGATTTCAAAAATTTAAATTTTGATTTTTCGAATTTCTGCCGCCGACTGTGACCTTGCCGACTTCCGGCGCTCCCAACGCGCCATTTTTAGAGCTAGGGAAACGAAATACATACCAAACGATAGAGAATTGATCAAGGAACACGATAGTGAAGGTTTCAAGTCGATATCTCCCACCGTTTTGCCGCAATCGCCGCGGAAAGTTGAAAAAGTTTGATTTTTTCGGAAAATTTGACCTTTGACCGGTCATAAGTAGGTCAAATGTTGACCTAGGACCAAAAAATATACCACCAATCGCGAGATCTCGTTGAGAGAAATCCGTTGGTTTTTTCCGCTAAGCTCTACGACCTTCCGTTTCGAAACGCCAGGGGGGGTCGTAACAACCCCCCCCCCCCTGGTCGTTCGTGTTATGAGAAATGGCCTGGTCGTGCGAGGGTTAAGCAATAATGCATCTTAACCCGGCAGTTGCTGGGGTATTTCGCCACCCACCGTTTGCTGGGGGGGGGCGTTAAACGCCCCCAGCCGATAACTCGAGAACCAATAGGCGCAGCGAAACGCACGAGGCGGCAAACGAAAGAGCGCGACGAGACGCTTCAGATGAGTACTTTAAAGTTGAATTTTGAGGTCACAGGTCGGGTCAAGGTCAGGTCAAACACCTGAAATCGGGCTTTCGGTAGCATGGACTTCAGGGCTTCGCAATGGGCGCCTCTCGCCATAAACTCTGTCAAAACGGTGCACAATCCATCTTATAAGGCCAACAAGAGTGTCAGCTCCATGTAGGGGTCAGTCAAGCATAGGTCAGGGTCAAGGTCAGGTCAACCGGGTAGGCACATATCCCCGAAAATCAAAACTGATATTCGCAGCCTGTGACACATGTTTTATAGGTAATTTGGAGCGTAGAACACGATGGTGACATTCATTTTATCATATGTGTACGTGTTTGGCCCAAAAAGTTCAATTTAAGAAATTCATGTATCATGGTCGTGAAGTAGTCACGAAAAATTGCCAAGATTCAGTTCAAGATTATGGAAAGTTCGGAGCAATAATCAATAATCGAAGATAGCCATTTGATTGACCATGGTATTGGCAGTCTAATGGCGTTTACGGCATGTCTGTATATCTATTCTGTGATTTTATATGATTTTTTGAACATATGCCGTTTTTGGTCGAAAACTCAGAAATAATGACGTCACTAAAACCTCGATTTCTCAAAAATTTTCCGACCGATTTTTTTGAAACTTTGTCACAATAAACTTCAATCAATTCCCTACAGGTACCCAAAATTTGGCGCGCCTGCGGCGCGCCGTTTTTATGCTATGGCCCGGCGAAAAAAGTGGGGGCGTTTAACGCCCCCCCCCCAGCAACTCGCGGGTTAAGAATAACGATCAGTCGAACAGTTTAGGTATCTATCTTATAAGTTTCAAACTCAGATGACCTTAGATGGCCCAGATGACCTTAGTCTGTACTCTGTACAATCATAAAGCAATGGGGGAAAGCCCAAATACCTCAGGCTTTGCATAAACACGTCGAAATGGCAGGGTGTTAGAATAATAGAGTAAATAATAAAGAATAATAAATGAATAAAGAATAATACAATTCCCACCCATCTGCATAATGGTGCAGCTATTTCTACCTACCGGGTGCAGCTTATGACCAGACAAGCTGTCGCTCAGGAAGTCATTTAGGTCATAAGAGGTAACAATTTTTTCCGGAAATAACTATTTAAGGAACTGGTAAATCGATTAAGATGCCTGTAATATGATCGGACTAGTAATACACATCGACTGATATGCAGCGTGACCTATTTTTGGTATAACTAGTCTGCAATAACAGCACCCTAAGTAGCCGAGATTAGCTCTCACCAAGTGCAGACCACCAGAGGGCCAGAGCAGTCGTACCGTCCTTACGTGTCCGATGGGCGCCGATCAGAGAGTGATCGCCCGCCGGCCGTGACCCGCTCGGGCAGCACGTGCTCCCTGACCCCGCCCCGTGACCCCGCCCCGGGCGGTCGGTCAGCTGAGCCGAGAGGTCAGCGGCCGCCCACCCGTCAGCATCGAGCGCTCTGCGGGGCGCGAGACAAGGATGAGGTGTTAATAAGATAGAGTGTAACAATTAGAATCATCTCACATGGGATGCAAACAAAAAATACATCATTTGTGATTTTTTACTTGCTATAATTGAGCTTCAAAATAACCATCATATTTTTTGATCCTGTATGAATTAGGTAGCCAATACAATTTTAATGTATCCATTATTGACGTGTTTATTAATGCATGAACGCCCATGACTTCATCTATTAGAGGATAATTTTCTGATTTTACCCGTCACTGGATTTTTTATCTGGTGATCATTATCAATTAACCGATAAGCAAGTGAAGTATCCAGGCAGACAAGCAACTTGTAATTGCCTCAAAATGCTATGCTGAAAGCGTCCTAAAAGATAGATAATTGATAGAAATATAACCACAAATTCGACTTTATCTATCTTATGTTCCTATGCAAAGCGCAAAGCTACACGATTCATTTTCGGGTTCAGTGCGGTAGCCGACGGACGTCATTGGCGGGAAGGCAATCGTGTACCGCCCCCCCCCCCCCCCCCGCCGCCCACCGTCCGCCGCCCACCGCCCGCCGCCAAGGCACTCTCACTGCGGGCGGCCTCAGCGGCGGCGCGGTCCTGTCCCGTGGGGCGGAGGTGAATGATAGCATTTGTCACACCGCCGCCGCCGCCGCCGCCGCCTCCTGATCCACCAGAGTAGCTCCTGAGGGCGGGCGGTGGCTGGCTGACTAGCACAGGTTCAGTCAGCAGATATGGAGCTAACTGACACGAGCTCAGGAGGGCCATATCACTAATCCAGTAGGTAGCTGTTTTGACTGAAAAACACGACTGTCTATGACCGGGGATACGTGAGCAGAGTAGGTACCTAGATATGCATTACAATTGGATTAAAATGCTAGGCGAATAGGAAAATCCGTTCGTAGTACATAGGTACATACGTATATAGGCACTTGCTCTTGTAGGTAATCCCAGGTAGGTGACTGCCGCGGATCGTATGGTAGTTGCCACCTGACATAGGTAAGCTGTAATGGCTATGTGTCTGACCAGAAGTGCTATTGTTGCAGGCTGTGCAACTATCGTGAATGGCCGCCGACCTCCATCAATTTCACATGATGGTCCGGTTTAAAGGGAATAGTTCACTTTCGCGAAATTAGTTGTTTGCAATGGATTTGTGATTTTTTATGCTCAAAATCACCAGCGGGGAATTATTTGATAAAATAATATTGTCGATTAAAAACAATTTATCATTTTTACCAATTAATTAAAAAATTAAAAAAATTGATTGAAAATAATATCTCGACCTCCCCATTATAAGTCAATGGGGGAAAAATCAACTCCCTGTTTTTACCATTGAAACGGGTGGGAATGGCCCTATAAACCATACATGACTTCATATACAATCAGCCTTCACTACCTTGAGGTCTGTTTTGCTGTTGGGAAGCTGTAAGGTCATGTGACGTCATTAACCCGCGCGGGGCTGGGGTCTCCAGCCGAACGCGCGGGGCTGGGGGGGGTAAATTTTACCCCCCCTGTTATCTCCCGAACTAATGGTCCGATTTGGAAAATTCAAACGCCAATCGAAAGCTCTCATCACGAACTACTAAAAACATGTACTTAATTTAAAGTTTGAGGTCAAGGTCAAGGTCAGGTCAAGGGTACAAATTGCAAGTTTCTACAGTATCGGCCTTGCACCGTAGTTGCCGAAGAATGGAGTCATGGACTGAGACTGATCGCCCAAAACGTGTTCTTAGGCTACCAAGACAATATTCGTTGCATACAATATCATTCAGAGGTCAAGGTCAAGGTCAGGTCAGGTCAGGTCAGGTCACCAAAAAACAAAATATAGAAAAGGGCATGTGCGACACATGTTTTATGGGTCATTTTACTCATAGAATTCAATAGGCACACTCAATAAGTGATATGGACCACCTCTGGATGAATTTCAGGTCGAGGTCAGGTCAAGGTCAGGTCAAGTGAGGTCAAATTTTGAAGTTGGTTTTTAAGGCCTAAAAAGGTGTCTATCTGATGCAGTTTTTCACGGCAAATCGAATGGTGCTATTTTTGTTTCCGTACGAGGTCTAGAACTTCCAAAAAAGTCATTTTTCAAAAAATTTGTGTGTCGTGACGTCATAAAATTTTGAATAACTCCCACATTTTTGAACCGATTCTTCTAAAATTTGGTATGTAGGTGCACCTAGACCACTTCTCTGACATATATTCCGGTTTTTTTCGATAGACTCAAAATTTTGGATTTTATAATGATTTTCCCAAAAAAATCAGTTTTTTGAAAAAATTTAGGCCAAAATCCAAAATTTTCAAAAAACCGAGATAGCCATTTGATAGACAAAGTAAAATTACGTATAACCTTTTTTGTTACGTCTTGATTCCTTTAAAAATGAAGATGTTAGCGGCGTTTGAACTTTTGCCGTTTTTGAGGCGAAAATGGCGAACATGACGTCACTAAAACGTCAATTTCTCAAAAATTTTCCGACGGATTTCGCTCAAATTTTCAGGGAAGGTGTCAAATTGATGTAAGAAAAGGTACTGAAAGTTTGGCGGCGCTGCGCGCCGCCGTTTTTGAGATATCGCAAAAATTCGCGAGGGGGGGTAAAATTTACCCCCCCAGCCCCGCGCGGGTTAAAGGTCACCAAAGTTTTTTTGCCAATAACTCCGTACAGAAACAAGATACAGCCGCCGCGTGGATGGTCTCATTGTGTTCAGCTCGTCAAGGCGCATCAAATGATATACATGATGACCTCGAGGTCACGTGACCTGAGGTCAAACTTTGACTTTGACCTTTCGAGGTCAACATATGTAATATTCGATGCGAATTGGCGAGAGGATCACGATGATGCCCTTAGTTTGTTCCTATCTTGACTAGTTCAAAAGTTATTCGAGAAAAACTCTCCATATCTAGCGCCGCCATTTTGACTTTTTGACCCCTGTGACGTCATTTTTGACCTGACCTTAAAATGACCCTTGTAAAAATTGTAGACCTTGTCCTTGCGTATCTCATGCCGTTTACCGCTTGTCGCTATCTTGCTTCGTTCTCGAGATCTCAGGGGGAGGCGGTCATCCGCCCCCCCCCCCGCCGTCGGTTCTAAGTCGGTGCGCGGGTTAAAGCCACAAATATAGGCCACCAGAGAGTCCCTTTGGTGTTGAATAAATGCAGTTTCGTTCGACATTTGCAGGCAGTCGTACAGAGATCGTCCCTTCGTGCCATAGATGCAACGTGAATGCAAAAGCGGGCTTATCTGCAATGGCACGTTCTCATTGTCGAAGTTGCTGGGCTTATATCGTTCCATACAGACACAGACACGATACAGACACAAGGTGGAGCTGCCACCTTCGTTGTCCTTTTTAGAGTATATTCATTGGGCTTTACTTACAATTACAGCCAGCCAACACATATCAAACGACCTTAGGGTTGAAATACCAAACCTCAAGTTAGTAAAGGTTTAGCTTTGGCATATCAAAAAATTGGCATGCAATCGACATCTTTGATAGCAAACTGAGACATCAACTGACAGGTCACCCACGGACCAACTGACAGACCAACTAACTGACCAACGGACGGACCAGCGGACGGACCAGCGGACGGCACAGCTGACGGACCAGCGGACGGATTAGCGGAGTAACAGCCGACGGATCACTGACGGGCCATTGACGAACCACCGACGGACCATTGACGGACCATTGACGGACCAGCTGACGGACCAAGTCACGGACCAGCTGACGGAGTACTGACAGACCGTTGGCAGTGGACCGCGCAGTGGACTGCCGCTGGACAGCCGATAGACAGACGATCGGTCTCGGTCAGACCGCCGGAGGACCGTTTCTCAGGCTAACTGGTGAACAGTGGCAACTTTAACAAAATATATTTCACACGCTCTGTCCAGCTGGCGACTGAGCATCGCTCACGGCCTGGACTGCGCAGAGAGGACACTGATATATGGAGCAGCCGCACCTGTGGAATCACAGAGAAAACACAATGCGATGGGTACGGTTAGCAACAGTGCTTCTCCCACCTTGGAGATTGATAAGTTTGAACCTTTTTCAACAAAGCCATTTATCTTCATATGTTGAAATAATTTCAGAGTTTTAATCGAAAATAATGTCTGATACTTTGAACAATTAGGAATATGAGCAACTGTACAGCCCAAACTGATAACTTTTAAGAAGTACAATGAACCTAATTTGACTAAATCTGCACGTAATGTGCGCCAAATGTGTACCAGATACCTAGCCGTGGTGAAAACGGTCAATCTTCCAGTGATGGCTTCATATAGGTTATTATTTTCGTTGGCTGATTGATACCTTATTGGGTAGCCTTGCATTCAATGCTCAATGATTTAGGATGCAAAATATCCTGAAATATGGATATATATTTTTCTCAATCGGACAGTGACCTTAAGGGTACCAGAACGGACAGTGTCGAAACCACAGTTCACCAATTGTTCTGTTCTGCCAAACACACATACCGAGGAAACACCTCATGTTTCTGTGTCCCGCAGTGCCGAGCTGAGCCGGGATCACCATCCAGCCCGCATCAAACCCGACCCTGAGCCTGGACAGCGGCGACCGGCGACCGTCTCGGCACCGTCCTCCTCCTCCCGTCCTCAGCCTGGTCCTCCGAGGAGCCGGTGTAACCCCTCCATGGTCTCAGCTGGTGTCTCTTAACCAGTGAAAATAGAAAATCAACGGAGCGACCACCGAGGAGCGGGCTGCGTCGGAAAATGAAATACGCCGTCTATTTCGAGCTGGCCGCCCGATCAATGCCCGTGGTGGAGAACGGCGTGTGCAGCGGGGCAGACGGCAGACGGACCGGCCATGGGAAGGGAGAGAGAAAGAGAGGAGAGGAGAGAGGAAACAGGAGAGGGAGAAACAACGGGGAATGGTGTGCTGGAGGATGTCGG